GCTCTCCCTATGTCCAGCCATTGATGCGGTTCTGCTTGTGACTGTGACTATGAACTATGAACTATGGAGAGGAATACGACGAGGACTAGAAATTTACAGAAACGGTGAACTACGCGGCTTCGTTAAATGCATGTTAAAGGTCATATGATGCTGCAAGTGTAGTGGTGTCCGTATTTAGTAGTTGAATAGTAAGTGATGACAATGATGAATGTTGTAAAGCTGTTTACAGTGAACTTATAGGTAGTGGTTGTAGGTGTGGTTGGGGCAGAGCGTACACCTCCAGATAATGGGGATTAAACTGATTCTAGGAGCCAGCTGGTCGTAGCGTAGACTGTAATACAATGTAGACGATCATCAAACGTAAAAAGGATATCCAACGATGAAATAAGTTATGTACATAGCCATGTATAGACATGATAAAAGTTATTATTTAATCAGAGACTTATATTAAATAAAACTCTAATAATAATACAACTCGTAAAAAGTAAAACAGCATCTTCAACTTTGAAAATATATTAACGGTGCTAGATTCTGGCGATATTAAAATTAGTAAATATTATACGTCTATTCTGTGATTTAATGGCTCGAAAAAAAGGAAAAGCTCAAGTCAATGTTCAACGTAGTACTAAACTTTCGTACATGAAAAAACCTGTGAAGATCCGGGTTAGAATTCGTCTTCAGCAACCCTTGTTTGTCCTTTGAGGAGTAAGGTTAATACTTATGGCTTATTTATTCATGGGAGACTGTCATCCAAATGAACCACCAGTATCTGTGTGTTTGTGTGTGTGATTTGTTTGTCCGGCAGAGAATAAAGGCGCATCTGTGACAATTGTTGGTGTCATATTCAGTTGTCCGGAGTTGGTTGTGTTTCTCATGTCCCCGCAGTTCGGAGTGAGTGAATGAGTTTAGTTTTACGTCGCACTCAGCACTATTCCAGCTATATGGCGGCGTTCTGTACATAATCGAGTCTAGACCAGACAATCCTGCGCAACTGGGAACCGATGACATGTGTCAACCAAGCCAGCGAGCCTGACCACCCAATCCCGTTAGTCGCCTCTTACGACAAGCATGGGTTACTGAAGGTTCATTTCCAACCCGGACCTTCACGGGTCCGCAGTTCGGAGCGCTGTTAAGTGACTTTATCCCGAATTTGGAAGTGTTGAACTGTCTTGTTAGCTCTCTGGTTCACTCTTTACATGATTGGTTGGTTGGTTGTTTTAAGCCACACTCAGAAATATTCAATGCGTATAAATATTAGAGTCTGGAACAGACATTCCAGTGATCAATAGCATGAGCATCGATCTACGGGATACGATCAACTGGGATACGATGACACTCTTTACATGATTATAATGAATATGTAAATATATATATCGTGAATCATTTGGGGAAGGCCTGCATTTTATATTCGCATTACTCAATCAAAGACATGACAATTATTTAGGCAGACATAGCATTGCCTCTGTAGAAAACAAGGCAACTAAAGAACCTTCTACTTACATATTCTGATATATACTCAGCAGCAAAGAAAACGTCAGTACGAATTCAAAATTAGATAGGCACTGTAATAAAATCGTTACAGAAAAGGACATAATAAGCGGATCAAAACATTTTTTGTGTACAATATCTTGACACATCAATGAATAACTCAGCACAATTTCAAGACATTATGTGAACATTTGCAGTCCATTCAGACTCTTGACTTCAGTATCTAGTGTGACCACCACGAGCGGCAATAACTGCAGCGCAGCTTCTATGCATGGAGTGCGCCAATCGATTGATTAAGGCCATTGGCACCTGAAACCACACTCTGAGAAAGGCCTGGCGCATTACATCGGCTGTGTTCGGCCTTGGTATGGCATTATTCTGTCTCCTCTGAATTTCATCCCAAAGATGTTCAATTGGGATTGGGTTTAAATCAGGACTAAGGGCTGGCCACTGCATAATGTTGACACCGTTCTGCTGTAGGTAGTCCCGCGAAGCTCTGGCAGTATGGGCCCGGGCGTTATCATGCTGGAAAATGTTCCGGTGACGTGCGAAATGTGGTATGTGGTATGACGTGGGGTCTGAGAGCTTGGTCGATGTAGCGCACCGCTGTGATGCCGCCTCCTCTCCCTGGACCAAGGTTCTGGAACACCACGGGACCCACTTTCTGGTTCAGGCCTGTTCCACCCCTTACCATGATGCTTGCACCTCCCAATGAGTCTCTTTCCATAACACATTGGTCTGAGTAACGCTGGCCACGTCGTCGCCATATTCTTATTCTGCCATCTGCAGTTGATACGCAGTACCGACTCTCATCTGTGAACAGAACAGTTCTCCATTGCCTGTATCGCCAGTTTTGGTGTTGTAGGGCAAACTGTAGACGTTCACGCCGATGACGAGGGGTGAGGATACGGCAATTGAGGTTCCCGCTGTTAAGACTGTATCAGTACTGATTGGTCTTCCGTGTGTTCCCACTGTCTGGCGTGCTGTTTCGGATGCCTGCATGAAGGGATTCTGTACATGCTGTCGCACAACATGGCGGCCTTGTCGTCTTGTGGTCACCCTTGGTCTGCCAGTACGGGGGTGATCATTTGTGGTGTTGGTGGCCCGGAAACGTTGCTGCAGCCTGTAGATGGTCCGAACGTTGACCTGGAAGTGATTGGCAACGGCTTGTGCAGTGTGGCCAGCTTCAAGACTTCCTAGCGCCTGGTTCCTCTGAGCTGTCGTGATTCGCGGCATCCTGCTGACGTTGTAATGTGAATGTTTCAACCAGGTTTGGGGGTTGCATTTTATAGGGCTGGTCCTTGTGAACAGCACGTGCAGCATGAGAACATTGTACCATCTCCGAGATCAGGTTGCGTTTTTGAGACCATTTCCTTGGTTCCATTCTGAGTTTGGGAAAGAATGTCTTTGCTCAGGTAAAGTTGGAGATGTTGTCAAAAATATACAATCAAAACATTAAATGAGTTCACAGTTATCCGTTTCTGCGACGGAAAATTCCAAACTGACGTTTCTTTTGCTGCTTAGTATACATCACAGTCAGGGGACAAACCACGTCAGTTGGCATGGCGTAAATGTCGTGAAATGAACTGTGAACTCCTGGAGCAAATATTCTTTCTCTTTTCTGTTAAAAACAAATTAACAGTGGTCGATATTGGAAAGTATGAACAGGTTTTGGATTTTAAGTCAACGTCAAGTAGAATTGTGTGTACTGTGCAGCAGTCATAAAATATCTTCATCGAACACAGTCTGACCACAATTTGAAAGCAGGATTTAAAGAAAAGAATGGACACAGGTCAGTGTAACATATATGCATTGTGTACATTTGCCAAGTTATGTTAGCAATGTAGTTAATGATGGCTTAAGTGTTAGGTACCTGTGTCTTCAGCAACCCATGCTTGTCGTAAGAGGCGACTAACAGGATCGGGTGGTCAGGCTCGCTGACTTGGTTGATACATGTCATCGTATCCTATTTGCGTAGATCGATGCTCATGCTGTTGATCACTGGATTGCCTGGTCCAGACTTGATTATTTACAGACCGCCGCCATATATAGCAGATAGCTGGAATATTGCTGAGTGCGGCGTTAAACAAGAAGCAAATTATACGTGAAACAATACACTCACACAGACGTTAGCTTCTTGTACTCAAAACATATTAGTCTGCATGTCTATCTAACTTCAATTGAGAGTTCGTTGTGTAGGTCGAACGCCAAACCCTCTGTACATCATTATCGATGTAATCTTTAACAATTTAATATCACAGTGTATTCTAGTGTAGCTAGGAGTATACCATCCAAGCGGCAGGTAAGTTGATAAAAGCGTTCATCCTATCGGGTACTGTGGATACATGGACAAACTTCGAATAGTGTTAATTGTGTCGGAGACACCACAAGCAAGACAAGTTGAGTGCTCGACAAAAAATCAGGGTTGCTGACCCTGAAACGAACAGTCAGGGTAGGGGTGGGATACAAACTGAGTACTGGCCATCCATCTGTCACCTATGTCTTCCAGTGCGCAGATGTAGTTTTATGTAATATTTCAAAGCATATAGGTGTTAATTGCATGTGCATTCACAATTCGCTTGCCCTACATACCATGATCCTGTTCCTATTGGGTTCTTGTGCATGATTCCACGTTGAACATTGTGGGTTTTGGTTTGTCTGTGCCATCGGCATTCTTGTGAGTTTCACCAAGCTGGTAAGCCTGCATCCTCCCACGATAAGCTGCCTGGTGTCGATAAATCCAAACTAACGGTCAACGCGGCAGTAGTGAGTGATTTGAGTTTGGGCCGCTTTTAGCAAAATTCCAGCAAATATCACAACTTCTCCAGAAGTTGCCTTCACATATTGTACCCATGTGGCAAGGTGGCATAAAACTCACTAGTAAAAAAAGTACGCATCCCGCTGTTTTCCCTCAGTAATGTTTTCAAACACCTTTACTTTCACCTTTGGCTAAAAGGACCTGAATTGATCAACTGGGGTCAGATCGAGGACATTAATGCACAATGCTATGTCAGTCACATGCATTTCCTTGATCTATTTCAATAGAGCTCTGATCTGAATCCGGGTGCAATCGGTCTACAGTCAGCTGTTCTGATTGCAACCAGGAAGTCTTGAACAAGTCAATGTATTGTCTATAGTATCAGTCTCAGACCGGATTATGTACAAGGCGCCTTCATGTATCTGGATAGTGTTGACGACATTAAGCCTTACGTTTAGCCCTTAGATCTTCCTTATCATTAACGGCGATGTATTCAGAAACGTAAGTTAATTCCAATGAATTGGTGTTCAAGCATTGCAATTGTTTAGTTTCCTACTCTTTGTGACGTTCATATCCCATTCCGCTGTCCACGTACAGCCCAAAGTGGTGATGGTGACGCAGAGTCATATGCCATGCAAGGGAGTTAACTCTATCCTGCATATTGTTGCATTTTACCAAACAATATGAGTTTGTTAGTGTTGCTTTGTATATCTCCAGTTGCTTCAGTCATTGAAGTGTAAGTGAGACTAGCGGCAAAATTTCACGCAAAGGATTTTTATTCTCCTGTATTTCAGAAGACGAAAGTCACTGTTTCTTTTAAGATTTCAAATGTGTCAATATTCCAATGGGCTGAAGATGTTTTGTAAACGTTTTGGACTTTATTGAGAGCATAAAAATCATGAATTCAATTTCTTTCTCGCATTTCAGATAGGACGTCGAGTCGGTTTTCACAGGCACATTGTGAATGAGACATGTGGTATTTATTCGACGAATGCCTTGTTGTCTGCACACGTCGGGCTTGGTTCCAGGCCGGACCGGGGGTCGCTTTTACGTTTCAGGCAGGTGAAGATCCCTGAAGTAACAACACATAGGTTTTAACATAATACGTGTCTGCATTGATGTTGTCAGTTTAAGCTGATGATTCTTTAGTGTTTTCTTGAAATATATTTCACTGAACCGTTCCGGATATAAACTTATAACGATGACTTTGTTGCCCAGCCTCTAAAAGATAAAGGCTTTTAATCACTGCCTATGATAAACTGTGTGGTTAACTATTGTCAACAGAAGAGTCAGAAGAGTATAATGCCAAGCATGAAGAACATACTCAATGATCGCAAATGATTACAAACAAGTAATAAACATAATTGCAGTTGAATGAATTGCTGCAATCGCTAAGGTTTATAATTATTTGGTGTTGCGATCTGAGCAGATGTTCGATTTCTACGTTGGAGATTGGACTGGAATTTGTTGTTGTTTTATTTTTGTGTGTTTGTTTTGTTTACGCAATATAACGCTGGTCTCTAAATACTCGGATCTGGACCTTACAATCGAATGATTGACACCATGGGATACGATGACATCTATCGACCTGATCACCCGATTGTATTGGTGGCCTCTTACGAAAAGCACAGTGGTCACAACAAGCTTGGGTTGCGGGTGAGAATCGGTCTTCAGCAACACATGCTTGTCGTAAGCGGCCACTAACGGGATCGGGTGGTCGGGCTCGCTGATATGGTTCACACATGTCATCAATTACGTACATCGATGCTCATGCTGTTGATAACTGGGTTGTCTGGTCCAGACTTGATTATTTATAGACCGCCGCAATATTGCTGAGTTATTTTATTGTTAAACAGCAAACAAACAAAAAGTTTGAGACCTATTCTCATCCGGTTCTTCATCAGAACTATGATTTATAGGGCTACAGCACGCACTCACCGTATATAATAGGATTAAGGCAGCTGTTTATTATACAGATATAGTTGAGGGCCAACCACAAAACTTCCAAACTGTCATAAGTGAGGTTGAAAGTTCTGAAAAATAAAACAATGACACCAAACAATAAATGAAACCATCTCCATTACACCAAGGATATTCAAAGTTCCTTCTTAAAGCGGGACACGTTCGTTAATATAAAGACATTGCCGCCACTAATGTTTACATTACAAGAGATCATATATTCCATAAAACCAAAGTGTTGTGTACAGGTGTCTATCTTTATGCATGCAGTGTACGAGGTCTCCTAGATCCCTCGGGGGTTAAAACGTCACTCTTCACCCAGAAGACACGGTCTCGATTTCACATATGAGTGAAGACAATTTTGGTATCCCCGGCATTGATACTGCTGTACTATCGCTCGCTCCTAGACCTTAGGGAAATGTTATTACAAATTGTATGGACAAGAACATTTTGGAATGTTTTGTAGATACATATTTTATGTTCAACTTTTAAATACAACTGCATTTATGTTTAGATAAGATGACTTTATTTTGAGAATATAATGTCAGTAAAGATGCGTGGTAGGTTTACTGTTTCCGAGATGAACTTAACTTCGATTGCATGAACATTCCTTTTCGTGATGATGAAAACAAATGTCAAATTGACAAAACAAAAATTAAAAAACTGTTAGGTTTTGGAAGAGTACTGGGTGTCATGACAACTATCGCTTGATTTTGCACAAAATGGTCTAATGAGAGTTCAAATCCGCAAGGAGAGGTGGGGTACCCAAATGGTTAAAGTGTTCACTGGAAACCGAAACACGGATTCATTGAAAGTGTGTTTTATTTATATTTGGAACGGAATTGGGGGATTTGTCTCGATAATTTGTTCAAAGGTTTTTTATATTGGTGCTGTATACATTTGAGTCTATTTATGACAAATACCAACATGAAAAAGTCGCTTTGAAAACAAATCTAATCAGATATTAACCTTGGCTAAATGGACAGAGACATTTATAATGTCTGATAATCAAGAGCATGGATGAATATAGAGCATGTGTGAATATATTTTACGTCCGCTTCGGCAGCCATTAACCAGGCAATCATGAGGTTGTCTATGGTACTCTTAGCAAATATGTCAGGGTAGAGACTGCGATCTTATCGAAGGTTCTGCCAGTAGAGATTGTAATCGGAGTCTCTGCTGGTACAATCAGATTGGAGCATCTGTTGGTAGCGATTGTGATTGTATAGGTTAACGTTATTCCATATAATCAGAGCCTCTACCAGTAGAGGGGGCGGTGGGGTAGCCTAATGGTTAAAGCGTTGGCTCGTCACGCCGAAGACCCGGGTTCGAATCCCAACATGGGCACAATGTGTTAAGCCCATTTCTGGTGTCCCCCGCCGTGATGTTGCTGGAATATTGCTAAAAGCGGCGTAAAACCAAACTCAGTCAGTCAGTCAGTCTACCAGTAGAGATTCCGATTGCAATCTCTACTGGTAGAATCTCCGATTCTACTAGATTGCAATCTCTACCATGACATATACATCGTCGTCAGTGGGTACTGTACTATGATTGGTGACATTCTGATAATATTTTCACATGTACAGTGGCCTTAAATGATTTCAACAGTGTGAACATGTGATGCTTTCTTCCACTAAAGTTTATGTAATGTGTAAAACTCTAATATAAACTGTTTTTCAAAAGAAAGTTTACACCCATGCTTAAAAACGGAACAAGGAATGATAGTTGAAGGAGTCATACGGCAGTTGTGTTTCGGGACTTAAGTGTTCAGTTGTTTAGCCGATTGTTTTCATCCAACAGTTCTCCTAACTGAAATAAAATCACACGATATCGCGATTCATAATTAACGAAGAGAGTTTTATTGTCAAAACTAGCGTAACGACGTGAAGGAATATCACGTTAAGAATTAACACAAACTGAAAAATGCGTTTTTTGGACAATGTTTATTTTGCTCGCGATAAACAATTTTGATCACGTGGTTACCATCCAGGGGTGGACCAACTTTATTGTTGTAATACGTTGTGTTTTTATACAAGTATTTTGGATAGATATTACCGTTTGAATATCTTTACCAAATGATTTCACTATCGTATTCCACTGATTTATAGATGACGTTTGGGAGCTGGAATGTACCTACTGATGCTGCGGTGTTTTGACAACTGCAGCTGTGTTCGGATCCGGAACATATTGTACAACATACATGTAACTATATTGATAGTACTACCCAGATTCTCATATTCTGCATCACTGTTTTCGAGTTAATGATTTGCGAAGGAAGCCAGCTGAGAGGCTGATGTAAACCTGAGCAGACTCCATTCGTTTACATACATGTAGTTATCTCCCTTTTATCGTTCTCATTTAAGTTGTATCACAATTCCACATGTACAAAATAGACAAAAACACCGAGATATAATGTTGGTGACTCACCCGAATCTGTCAATTAGAAGCAAAACACTGATCGGCGTCCAGCACAAGAAGAAAGCTACATCTACAAACACAAAACCATACAATGAAATAACAGTTTTTTATGTATATCCTAAATGAAATCTTACACCGTACTCTAGGCCTCCTGGCCCCGAAGTACAATAAACTTCTGTTTCTGTTTCTGTCAATAACAGTTTATAAATCCGACAGCATCCCTACTTTATATGGTAATTGTGCAAGCCTCCACACAGTCTAGTTTTGCTAATGGGTAAACAGGTAGAACTATTTGTCTCTAGATTTCATATAATGTATTGTGGGGCGTAACTAAAACTAAAACAATTAACTACATAAATATGTCGTATAGAGGCATTTACTGTAAAACTATAACTATAAACTATATACATATATCATATAGAGGCAAATACTGTAAGGCTATAACTATCAGCTATATACATATATCATATAGATGGCATTGTAAGACTATTTATCAGCTATATACATATACATTGTATCATATTGAGGCATATATTGTAAACTATAACTATAATCTATACACATATATCATATAGAGGTATGTACTGTAAGACTATTACTATTAACTATATAAATATATCATATAGATGGCATTGTAAGACTATTCATCAGCTATATACATATATCATAAAGAGGCATATATTGTAAACTATAACTATAAAATATATACATATATTATATAGAGGCTACCCCTGAAGGTCCGGGTTAGAATATTGATCTTCAGTAACCCTTGCTTGTCGTAAGAGGCGACTAATGGGATTGGATGGTCAGGCTCGCTGACTTGGTTGACACGTGTCATCGGTTCCCAATTGCGTAGATCGATGCTCATGTTGTTGATAACTGGATTGTCTGGTCCATCCTCGATTATTTACAGACCGCCGCCATATAGCTGGAATATTGCTGAGTGCGGCGTAAAACTAATCTCACTCACTCATATAGAGGCATATACTGCGAAACTATTACTATCAACTGTATAATACATCATAGAGACGTACATATTGTCATGCTAACTGATGGTCATATCGTCATTCTGACATGTTTGGTAGTATGACGTTACAAAGTGCACAGGTACATGTAATCTTTGAGGTACATACATGGTTATACAGTCTCGGGAAAAACACAGTCCCATCCAGTCGCAGTCATATACCTGTGACCATTACACACCAGTTTGTGCAGTCATTGTACAGTCCCAATGTAATGTATATATTCATACCCACTGAAATGCAGTTGCATGCAGTCGTTTACAGAATATACAAACAGCCAAATCCTCTCCTATAACTCCCGCTACTGCTATATTCATTAACAGTTACTTACAGTTACTAACTATCTACCAGTGCCATTGAGTAACAATCACATATAATATGGGATCACGTTAATATGTATACTTATGTGTCTCTCAGATTGACTTACTAAATTGGTCGGTGGGGTAGCCTAGTGGTTAAAGCGTTCGCTCGTCACGCCGAAGACGCAGGTTCGATTCCTCATATGGGTACTAAGTGTGACGCCCATTTCCGGTGTTCCCTGCTGTGATATTGCTGGAATATTGCTAAAAGCGGCGTAAAATATTCTCACTCACTCACTCACTGACTTACTAAATGCTGATACCATTGCTAGGTCCCAGCCAAATGTATTAAGGTCGCTTTCATCTGGAGTCGTCTTCTTTGCTTCTTCGAACTCCTGAGTTCCTTTAAACAGGTTGCAACAATTAAATATACATCAACATAAAATCTAATTTGCCTCTAAAGTATACGTTAAATATGTGAAATGAATGGTGGTTTTGTTTCGGACAGCATTTCGAGATCCGAGGTCGTTTTGTGCACAGATGTCTTATCACCATTCAATTCAGCAATTCAGCTAAACCTCTCTCTAGGTATAGCTAAGATTAGCCAGTTTGTTGGAAGAGGCTTGGGTAGGGAATATAAAATCATGAAAGAAGCATTATAACCTATATAGGCAACGTAAGTATGTGTCTCATTCCATATTGTGTTGCTGATGAATATTTATAGGCCATCGGTCAAATGATTATTTGGCCAGTCAGCTCCACACAGTTTAGATTTGGTCTCCAGAAACCCATGCTTGTCAGAAGAGGCGACAGACTCGCTGACTGGGTTGATGCATGCCATAATATTCCAACTGCGTAGATTGATGCTCATGGTGTCAATCTTAGGATTGTCTGGCCTAACCTCGATCAATTACAGACCACCGTCAATTAGCTTGAAAAGTTTGGCGTTAATTGTTATTTAAATGGTACTTTTATGTACTTACCTTTCTTTCCAATCCATGAAATGATGGCAGGTATTCCTGTCAATATGATGAAAAGAAGTGGAAACCAAAACATCGAAACGCTGTACGTAACGAGGTAAAGTGTTTCAGAGGCCTTGTCTTTAAAGAAGTCAAATCTGGCGCACTGGATGAGCTCCGGGTAGTGTGGATGAATATGGGTACGGTACAAAAATGCCTACAAGATAAAAACGTGTCTTCAATTCCAAACATGCATATAAAAGATAGTGTAGTCACAAAAAGGGACCCGTGAAGATCCGGGTTAAAATTATACATCTTCAGTAACCCATGCTTGTCAGGCTCGCTGACTTGGTTTGCGTAGATCGATGCTCATGTTGTTGATCACTGGGTTGTCCGGTCCAGACTCGGTTATTTACAGACCATGTCATAAAGCTGTAATATTGCTGAGTGCGGCGTTAAACTATCAAACTTTACCTTATCTGGCCCTTTGCTAAGTGAGTGAGTGAGTTTAGTTGTTTAGAAAAGAGACAAGAATCATTTTACTCAAAATAAAAACGAATGCACATTCAGTCGCAAATGGGTAATGCTGTTATCACACACATTGACCATGCCCCTCTGTGGTGTCAGATCTTGCCCTTAAGACTCGCCTCATTGTCCCTGTTGCCTTTATCCTGTATATATGTTTTGCTTACTACATCAAAAACATCAAGCAGCAACCATCACTTATATATACATACGGTCTTTCAAAATGAATTCGGTTGCTTCGTATGGACGTACATTTGTATGTATGGATTGCAAATATATCTAATCCAGGTTTTATATACTACACCATGTTATAGCTGGAATATTGCGGAGTGCGGCGTAAAACTAAACTCACTCACTCACTACACCATGTGAATGTATTCACACCCGGGATATGTTTGGGTTTTTTTTGGGGTGTTTTTATCACTTTTTGATGTTTAGACTGAAAAGTTCATAATTTCTCTGGAGGTGAACAATGAAAGAGTTTACCTGCGGGATACTGGCACACGGCAGCAACGACGGAGACGACAATCAACAGGATCCTGGCCACCTTCGAGGACTTATAACAGCATATGGTGACGGCGTTGTCGACGTTAAACGATGCCAGGAAGTAGTGAGCCATGATTTGCCCAAACAATATCAGGAACATGCATATCTTGCAACCCACATTTCCAGCAGTCCATACGTACGTCGCCATCCATCCAATATCGATACCAAGACGAAGACAAAGGCCAAGGAAGTCGGCAATGCAAAGACAGAGGAGGAAGAACTGTACTCTGCTGTTGGGCTTCCATGTTTTCAGTAACGACACGAGTACTGCAATGTTGGCACAGACACCAATGTACAGCAACACGCTGCTTGTTACCAGTCGGTTATGTTTATCCTCGGGAATGCTGAATTCATTTGGGGAAGTCTCCGACGTGTTCATTTTGAGGAAGTAGTGACAGCAAATGCGTTTTGGTACTTACATATGGACAGGTTGGCTATCAACGCGTTGCAACGCTGCTTGTTCTCATGGAAATGATGCTTGCAAGCTTCTTAATTACGATAATTGTGACAATAACAGCAGTGACATTCACACAGCTGTAAAAGGATAATTTGATATAAATGTCATGTCAATTTGCCGTATTTTGCATCATTATTTTGGTGTGTGTATAGGCGTATGGAAATAACATTGTGGTATGTTTATGTCGTGCTTAGGTCATGCCTGGCAGACATATAAACGATAATACGGACATATATTCATACTATTAGTGTTATGCCTTATTTGGTGATAAGAGTTAGTGGCATATGTTGTGAAGTAGGAATCTAAAAGAAAGTATGGAGCTTCCAGTCTCTGACGTTCCTAGACAAGACTACCTCGTGATGATCCGGTTTAGAATTGATCCTCAGCAACACATGCTTGTCGTATGAAGTTACTAACGGGATCTGGTGGTCAGGTTGGCTGACTTGGTTGACATATGTTACCGTTTCCCAATTGCGTATATGGATGCTCATGTTGATGAAAACTGGATTGTCTGGCCCAGACTCGACTATTTACAGACCGCCGCCATATAGCTGGAATATTGCTAGGTGCAACAAACCAACCAGCTTGACAAGGTTAACATCCTGGTTATGACCAATGTTTTGTAAGCACTTCATTCGTCATTTTGGAATCACCTGATTTGTGAACGCTTACGACTTGTGTAAGTTTCTGTGTCCTGACACATAAAGCTGAGTACTTTCAACAACCAAAACCCTTATGACCCCGTCACAACATTACGCTTGAAGATTTTAATTCCGCGTAAAATTCTGAAAACATCGAGATAAAGTTCTAGAATGTGTTACGTATTACTGTTTGCGAACACATGAAATCACCACTAAATGATAGTGATTCATGAACAATCCCTCAAAAAGTAGTCGTAGTTTGCTTAAAGGAGAAATATTCTGTGATCATGAAAAAGTCTTTTTTGCCTGCCTTTAGGCATACGAAAATAATCTGGTTAATATTACGCAACAGATATTGCGTCGTATTTTGTACTCTTATTTCCACACAAGATATAGTTTTGTCTGGTGTTATGAATCTGACAGGAGGAAGAGGAACTGGAAAGAGAAGAGCTTTATGGCCTTCGTCATCCTAGCCGCTGCCAAACGCTTTGCAGAATGGAATCTGACCAATGGTTTGATCCATTAATTGTCAGTTGCTATCCAGCATTAACCCTGCTTATGATCCCTGTGAGTATATCGTTTCCATACACATCGTACATTTTCAGAGGTTACGGCCAAAATGAAAGCAAGTATAGTTATTGAGAAAACATGCTGGGAAACGCTGGACCCCCTTAGGATCTATTTGGTGTAAAACATTTAGACAAGAAATAGGCATCCCCATGGGCATCTTTTATGCCCACATCTTTTCGGATCGCTTTTTTCATGTGGATCATTTAGAATTTGGCAAATTCAAAACCGCTGATTTGGCAAAATTGGTTCTTTGAATGACATTTGATACATATTTAGAACGATGATACACATAAGGAAGAGAGTTTTTACAGATGTCAACTTTATTATGAGGAAAACAACGTTTCGGAGTATATCCTTACTCCTTCATCAGGTGATATCAAGCATAAAGATATTCTGTTAAAACGCAATGTGCCGTTAATTATGTTTATTTCAAGGAGAAGTTCGAATAATACACCACACAATAAGAGAACGATAGTAAAATTTTAATGAGGTCATTCTCAGTCGAAAAAAAAAAAGAAAGTGCATTATCAATAATCGAATGTACACAAGAGCAAAACACATGGACGAAATATTATGTATATTGTTATGTATATGACAATACATGCAATTAAGATAAGATAAGACAAGACTGTATTATCCACGGAGGAAGTTTGGTTTACATTCATAAGAGCTCTGGGGCATTTAACGGTCATAAAATATTACATTTACAATATTACAACACAACAGCAATTATAATACAGTGCACCCTGGTTATAATGCCACCCTGGATATAATGCCATGTATTTGCCAGAACGGATTTCCTGCCTATATAATACCCTCGGTAAAATGCCAAATTGGATATAATACCATATGTCATTGGTTTTGGGGGAAAAAAGTCATTATCGCCTGGTAATAATGTCAGTGGCACTGGCAGCATGCTGTGTACATACCTTAATTGGTTAACTGACATGACTCAAATTAATTGACCAAACGCATTTAAGTAGTCTTGCAATCCCAGATAGGATAACACATGTGCCAATACACTTCCTGCTACCGACAACAACAAGTCACCTGCAACCCCTAGACGCTTGGATTATCCAGTCCTTCAAGGTAGATCTTTCCGTGCACATGCAACATTAACAGAGCGAGTGCCATTCCACGTATATGTTCTAAACTCTTTCTTAACATCTTTCATCAACAATCACCAAAACAATAATTATCAACATCGTCATAAAACTTACAGGAAGAATATGTTTGTTTCACAAACTAAACCAGATAGGCCTGTGACCTTTAAGTACCAAATAAAGATTGATCGATTGAAACTAAATTGTTTGTGTCGGAACATATGAAGGTCTACATGTGATTTATAGCTCTGTGTTTATGGTCACCTTTTACATCATTGAACCCCTTGAGGGTGAGTATATGAATTGGCCACGTATGCTGTAAGGGGCCACTGATAGGAACGAGTGGTCTGGTTCGCTGACTTAGACTACGATTGTCATCAAAACTCTTTTGCTCCTGATGTTATTCACTTGATTGTCTTGTGAAGACTGGATTTTTTACAGACTCCGCTGGAATATTGCTGAAATATTGAAGGGCGGGTTTAAACAACAATCAAACTAACATTGTTGGAGGATAATTTATGTGACACAAAAACGTCTATAGATATAGATAAATATTATTTTGCATACGAAAGGAGACTCCTCTGCTCCTGACACTTTTGGGCCCGTGAGCCTCTTGGATATTCTTAGTAAGCGTTTAACATCAGGGGCTTTTTTTAAAACAGCATATTAGGCTGCAGCTCTTAACAAATTATTCGAATGTCAGTTAGGGTTTAGAAAAGAATATTTGACTAATGACATTTGTTAATGCTATCGTTCGATGTTATCTTTCAGGTAAAGAGAATACATTTTATGTGGCATTTATCGATTTTCAATTTTTCTATGCTACTCATTATCATCATCCTTGGTAGCTCTTCTACAAACATGGTTTGACTACTACAGTCAAAATACAGGAACGTAAAGTCTAATGTTCGATCAAACAGCAGTGTCTGGTTCTTTTGATTGTCTCATAGGGGTAAGGCAAGGGTGTATGGTTTGTCCGTTTCTGTTTCAGTTAATCCTGTTCCGAATAATGGTATTATGATGGACAAGGGGGGAGTAAGTTAGCGGATACTTTTATCATGGTTTGTACTTTGAGGTCAAAAGCTTTGAATACTACTGCAATTCAGGCAAGATAGGTGCTCATGGTCTTGTTGAGCAGTGCACTTTAACTTCAAATTATTTCATGTAATAATGACACCGATTCTTTTATACGGGGCAGGAATGGTGACATAGAACCATTAGAAATAGTTCACTTGTATGAACATAAGACGGTTATAACTGCAAAGTTATCAAATTGAAATGATAGTGTGTTAGGCGATTGGGGTAGATATTCTATTCAGTTGCTTGCTGTTTTGAAATGGGTAGTGGCAGTGTCTTTTGTATAATGAACAAGGTCAGACACGGTAGACATACTAAGGAACACATTGTCTCGTTTTCGGTTTAGCTCATAGAACGTTGAGATCGAATTTTTCGGTATATTAACAGTACTGAATAAAACGTATGATATCATATCATATCACAGATACAGAACGAACACATACATGCATACAGTAAATAAATAAGTGATATCCGTGCAGAGTGAATAAATATCGGGGCGATTGAAGACGTTCCACGAAGAGAAAACAGATCTGAGACACAGAACATTGGTTGTCGTTTCGTTCCGGTCAGTGTTCGGGCTTGTGACGATTCTACAGTCCAGGAGACGTTCTGTCCCTTCGTCTTCCAATGCAGCTAAATATGGCTGAAAAATATTTATCAAATACATTTAAGATGTAACGCACTGATTAACATGTCAACGAGAGTTTGCTGGGGCCTGCTTGTACACGAAACAGAAGGAGATATACATTACAAGACATTATTCTCTCAGTAACCCTATACGACACTCAAAGAAAATTATGATTCAATGATGGATAATTAACGTGGTGAGCATACATATATAGTAAAAATAAGAGCGTCACACGACTCGGACACGGAAGTTGTTTGATCAAGGTTACATCCAAGGCCTCAGTACAACTTTCAAAAAGGTTTTGTGGTATACATGTGGCGTAATTTAAATTCACTTTCGATTGTGCAATTCGTCGATTATATTATAGTTTCCGATTTTTTCAGGTGAACAATTGACTAGTCTTTGTAGGTTGTTCATCCGTATATATTTTGACATCCTTTTAGTCTGTGTATATGCTTTGCGAGCTGTCATCACTATTATGAAAGTAAATCATAAACACTTGCTTCATAAGGGACCGTTCATAATTTATTGCTAGGGAGGGTGATGATGATTTTTATGGACAAGCATGTGATTGTACAATGTGAATGACCCCCCCCCCTAAAATTTGTGTACAAGATAAGTGACACCCCCTGCATGCCATGTACAAAATCAATGACCCCTCCCTTCCCATAATTTCTAAGCACAATTTTAAACATTGCAACAAAATTGCTGACCCTCTAGTACGTGTGTACAAAATTGATGACCCCCTAGCTCCCCAGAACAAAGTGGGTGACCCCTTAAAATCATCATCACCACCCCGCCCCGCCCCCACCCCCTAGCCATAAATTATGAACGATCCCTAATATAGTCGAAATTGTGCAATCGATTGTGGTTTTAAAGAACATTACTTATGAACATGTCATATATCAATGGTGAATATCGACACTGAAACAGATATTACTGTGTTAAACGACGGTTACTATTTATGCTTCTTACCATATATGACGGGGTTAATGCAAGGGTTTGCTGCCTCAAGGAAGGTTAAAGCTGTGAAGACTATTGCTGACTGAGATCTGTGTTACGTAACAGAAACACGATATTAATATGACTCATTAAAAATCATTATTGGCAGAACACTACATACATATCTTTAAAATGATTTTGCAAAAACTAAAAAAACTCATAAAAAATCATATTCCTTATCGTATATAATCAAATGTCAAGCCATGACCATATCTATCGCTAAACGTTCAAACATGAACCGATTTTAGTATTTGAAGAGTCAACCTTCAGACAAAGGTTTGTCTTCACCATGCCGGTGGTCGTGGCTTTCACCACATTGAACAACGACTAAGACCTGCCATACTTCGGGATTTCCTCCTTCTATGAGGTTGTGTGTCTCTGGCACAGTAACATGTTACTGAACGTATTTACATTGGTTTTGAAATTCGCATCATTCACTTGTAATGTATGACATGGTATCTCGAAATACAGTGCCACGATGTTTCCAGATTTAAAACCCATCCTTTCACGAATAAAAATATTTCCGCTTACACAACCACATTACATTCTGTAATACAAGTTACTTTGACCGTTAGTACATGTTTGTTTACAGAACGCTCTTCCCAGCGTTTCTACTGGAATTGTAACTTTTAAAAATTGTAATACATATATATACAACAAATCTGCACGATATAGTTTTTCTTTATATGTTTTGGGGTTTTTGGGGGGTTTTTTTTATTTTATTTATTTTATTTATTTATGAACATCGACCTACGGAATCGGGATACAATCACATGGTACCCGTTTCCATTCGTCACGTCTTACGACAAGGACGGTTTGCTACAGGTAAATTCTGACCCAAGTCTGCATTGGCCGGTATTTCTTATAACTGATAAATGATACTTATCCAACTAACAGGAAGTGATCTTCAAATAATATAATGTTTTTATTTTATTTTTAACACAACACAAAGAGACATTACAGCTATATGGCGGTGGTCTGTAAATAATCGAGCTTGGACCAGACAATATAGTGCCTGATATCATGAGCAATTATCTCCTGGATTGGGATACGATAACTTGATACCTGATGGCCAGACTACCCGAACCCGTTCGTCCTACGACAAGAAGGGGCGGTGGGTAGCCTAGTGGTTAAAGCGTTCGCTCGTCACGTCGAAGACCCGGGTTCGATTCCCAACATGTGTACAATTCGTGAAGCCCATTTCTAGTGTCCCCCGCCGTGATATCGCTGGAAAATTGCTAAAAGCGGCGTAAAGCCATACTCACTCACTCACTCACTTGCGACAAGCACGGGTTGCTATAGATCAGTTCACTAAAGTATCTTTAATGGTCAGTCTTTCTTGTAAATCATATACATCTAAGTAACAGGAAGTGATCTTCTAATTGTATCCAGATAAACAAATCGTCACATTACCCAGATATCTGCAATGCAAAGAATGGAGCACAGCAGAGGAAGAATACGACGTCTGAAAAATATATTAATTTATTCATTAGATGCTCGTGCACTAACAATACATAAACTATATGTAAAATAATCCAGACTTTTGTGTGTTCTTTTAATATATATAAATCGCTGTATATTAAAACATGTCTGTAATTATAGTCTTAAACTGGCCATGGTTAAAATTGCAATACTGTTCAAAACGGCATAACATCCAACTCACTCACTCTTTCACTCTTTAAACGCAACACACAAAGAGATGCCAGAAATCTTTGTTTTTGCATAATCTGTGTCAACCTCATTACCAACACTTTCAAAAGTGGAAGTGTCTTCGGTTATGTTCAAAGCGACCTTTAATTTTAGTTTGTTCTGACCATACTTACTGGTTTACGTATTCCAACTGAAAAACACAGCAAGTGGCCTGGACCCGAGAAACAGTTATATTCGTCAGTTTGTTTCAAGTGTACTCGTTACAAGCATACAAATTGTCATGTCAAGGACAGTTAATGCATACCGTAAGCCAAAACTATTCCAATATCTCTGCCAATGAACTGAAGGTCTGTGGAGGAGTCATCGTCACGTGTCATCTTCCCAAAGCTGAGTGTTCCTTTAGAAAGAACAATAGTAACTCATTGTAAATTCTAGATACTCAACAGTGTTGCACTTATATGTGTAAAAACATGACTTCACACCTTCGCAAACGACGTATCGAGATATCAGGGATTATTTATGCATTGAATTTTATAATCGACCAATCTAAAATTGTGCAATATCACGAAAGAGCGAAATATAAGCATTTTGACTATCATCGTAAGATCATATAGACCATAACAACACTGTATTAAACGTTGACAAACACTGAGACAATTCATTGTGTATGCACACATATATGTTTTAAAACAGCTTAAATGTATTCTATTAGTTTTACCTTTTCTACAGCACCACACAAACAATGATGGAAGACCAAAAAGCAACATCATCAGAAATGGAAGTAGGAAATAACACGCCGTGTGCAACAATGGCAGTAACTGAAAACCTTCTACAGCGCAGAAATAGGCCTCGTTATTGTATCCCAAGCTCATCAGACGGTAGAAGTAGAACTGAAATGAGATGCAGATGTAGAGTAACGGAGCATTTCTCCTCATATGCCCATATTGACTTCTGTTACTGATCATGGTCGCTTGTATGGTGATCTACCTTCAGTTGTTGGCGATCTTAAGACCATTTTATATTGTATTGTTCTGTAGAATTATTGTTTTATGATTGCATGCTAGTTTTAAGTTTACATCTGTGATAATCTTGATATTTTACTGTCCTTCGTGGACAGGTATTTATATTGCATGAGTTTATTTTTTACTCATAGTCACGATATGGCTGAAATACTGCCGATTTGACTTTAACTTTTCACTCACTCACTCACTCACTCTGTTACATATATTCAAAATATTTAGAGGCACTAACCAACAGTACTGTGTTTGTATGTGTGACAGAATCAGCTAAACTTGCAAACAAAGCAAATCCTGAGTCAAAAGGGTCGCTTCTCACACTGAAAGTACAGTTTCGATTCCCCTTTGAGGAAGAATTCCTGTTCTTCCTGTACGTAAATTTGAGGGCTAGCTAATAGTACTGTTTATGTATTTGTGAAACATTTGAACATTAAAATTAATCAAAGCTTTTTGCTGTAAAAACAGGTTAAAATAAAAGCATAAAAGTATGTTGCTTGGTGTTGCAAACACTCAAAGGGTATGCTCATCACACTGAAAGTACATTTTCGATTTCCATTTGGAATACAAAGTAAAATTCCTATTCTTCCCCTACCTCGGGATGATATGGCTTATATACCACATATTTTATAACCTTATTCTCAACATGTGCTTACCTTAACGCCACTGATGATGAAGGTAGCTGCAAAGGACAACAACAGGAAGACGATACGCAACGCCTTGATGGAGCGACTGCAGGTGATGGTGAAAAGATTATCGATATTGAATCCAGCCAGGATAAGATGGGACATTGTATTTCCAAACATCTGGAGACCTGAAAATATTTTACATCCGTAATATCCGCCTCTCCATACAACGGTTGCAAAAAGCCCGATGCTGACACCGCTACTGATGCACAAGCCCAGCAAATCAGCAACACAAATGGCAAGGAGGTAGAAATGCATCCTGCTGCCTGTCTTCCATGATTTGTAGAGAGACCTGATCATCCATATGTTGGTACAGACTCCAATGTACAGTAGAACGCTGTTCACCACAATTTCCGTCGTGTATGGTGCTGTCTGTATAATACTGTCGTAATCATAATCGTATATGTAGTTACTTGAGTTGGCAGACTCCATATCCATGTTTAAGCACGAGACGAATCTCCTTCACGTAGTCCTTACACGTTCAGGTCCTCTGGTGTGGAATGTGTTCAACAAACTGGATGACTAACAAATACACGAGGTAATTATAGATCATTATGGTCAGCAGGACATTCATGTCAAACGTCCATTTGTAATCATGCTAGCCTTGGCATAAATTGCAACGTGAAAGGTCGACATCGATGGTTTTGCATGCATCTCAATGTTAGAATTGTATAGTTTGATTGAGTGAGTGAGTTTAGTACAACGCTTCCTAAAACTTCCGTGTCTGTTTAATGTGATGCAGAGCTCATACGCTTATCACTTTGCTGAAATCCAGATCTCGAAGCGTTTGCTGACCAGACCATGGTGATGGTATTTTGAAGGGGTGAATGAGCTATCTGTGCTTCTTGCATGGATTGTACGAAATGTGTGTGTACGATGGTGTGTAAGAAATCATGAGAGCAACATTTCTTGTAAACAGTTCGAATTAAAACAGACTCCGCTCAGAGGCAGTTTTGCATTTATGCCGAGCAGTAGTCCCACTTGCAGCTCATGACTCTTCACAAGAAAACGTGTTCATCAGTTGTTCATTCAGAGCTACACTATTAAATAAATACCTCCACGGAGCTTCCAAGAAATGTTATATAAGAGTTGTTGATAAAATTTCAATTTTGAGGCAAAGGTGTTTGCTTTAATTCCCCATTTTTACATTTTCCATACGTAATTTGCCTTTTGCATTTGTTTGTGGATCTACATGCCTATAATAGAGACGTTACGCTTCAATGGACACTACACAAAATAGAGTGTGTCCCTCGGTTCGACTAAATGGTAAACATGTACAATGACAGTTACTGTTTGTACAAGTTAACAGGCGATAAAATAGCACTTTGCTAATCAGACGCAATCTCTCCTGTACGACCAGGCACAAGACCATCACACTCAGTAAGGTTCATGCACACGTGTATTGATCAGACCATTGAACATATTTTATTTACTTATGGTTTTGGCTATGCATGGGTCAGTCAGGATATTGGTAATGTCAAGTATGTTATGTTTCTTTTAAACAAAGACTGACCGATATTTTAAAGCAATCCTGGTATTCTTCCATTGAAAATTCACATAAAATTGTTTATTATTGTCAGTATAAGACTCTGTTAGATGTAGAAAAATACTTAAATTGTAATATTTATTTAAATTTGAGATCTGCCCTTTCAAAATTTAGATGCGGAAACTTTAATCTAGCAATAGAGACTGGGAGATATGAAAATATTGCTTCTAATGAAAGATTTTGTTTATTTTGTAAATCCAAAGGTATTAATATTGTTGAAGTTGAGTGGCATATTTTGTATATTTGTGAATGTTTCTCTGATATTCGAGGGAAATATATTGGGAAATATTTAAGTTAGCCGCCGACGATAAACAACTTTATCCATATTATGCAATCTGCAAATGTCGATATGATTAAGAATGTTTCTTTATTCTTATATAATGTACAAATTAGAATGAAGAGCAGAACATTTTTATAAATCATTGTGTACCATTCATGTGATGTGTGATCACGCATTTGACGGTATTATGGGCCAGTGGCCTTTTACTGAATAAAACTGTCTGTCTGTCTGTCTGTCTGTATTGATCAGACCATTGAAAACGTGCGTGCGTGTAAAAAGAAAAATCTTCATAAAGCTGTTTGGCAGCTAACGCAGAGTACAAAAGGCAGTCTGCAATGCAAACAGGAGCACTCGTCTCTCTATCCATCAATGTTAAACGCAAACACATGACAAACAAGTCAGAATGTTTATTGGCAACACAGCCCTTCCTTAATTCATGTGTTTATATGTATATTTTGTATTTACCGCCATATCAGCGTAACAGTAATCACGGAGGATCTGCTTCAACAAGGTGACTATGTTCCGACTTGCCCGTTAGCGCCCACACGTTCACTGACCCATTTTAATGAAATGGTCTGGAGAAAGTGTGGCAATTCACTTTTGTCTCCGCGAATGGTCACGAACAAAAAAATAATGGTATATCTTGTTGTATGCTGCTCTAACATTATTCCACCAGCTTTGTGCTGCTGTCTTCACAATAGTCTACTTTCAAGAACAATACAGCAAAGTATTTGATTCGTGCCTACCAAAACACTAAAACTTTGATTACATGCACTTCTGTTAATCCATACAAAAACACCATATTTGCTGTACTTTAAACTACTTGCACCTGAATAGTACTGAATAAAACGTACGGTATGATATCATACAATCAGAATAAAACACATATATGTATACATTAAATGGATAGGTGATGTCCATGCGGAATAAATATATATCGGTGTGAAAGAAGAAGGTCCATGAAGTGAAAAGAGATCTGAGACACAGAGCATCAGTTGTCATTTTGTTCCGGTCTTTGTTTAGGATTGTGACGATTCTTCAGTCCAGGAGGAGTTCTGTCTCTTCGTCTTCTAATGCAGCTAAATATGGCTGAAAAGACAAAGTATTTATCAAACACATTTAGAATGTAACTCATTAGGAGTTTGCTCTGATCTACTTGTACCCGAAACAGAAAGAGATTTTTACATTACAAGATATTATTATCTCAGTAATCCTGCACGACTCCCAAAGAAAACTATTGAGCCTTTGGGCGTTGGATAATTAATGTAGTGAGCATAGATAGTAGTAACTGTAACGATTAGTAACGATTCTGACTCAGACGTTGTTCGTTCAAGGTTACACCCAAGGCCTCAGTACAGCTTTCATAAGTTTTTGTGGTACGTTAACATCACTATTTTGAAAGTTCTACATAATCAGAAAAGTCATGTGTAATAATACAGTTGAAAATAGTGCAATTTCGGTTTTAGAGGACATGAATTGTGGATATGGAAATAGTTTTGTTGCTTTTAGGTGTTGTTGTTGTGCAACTGAATCTTGATATATTTAAAATGCATATATCCCAATGGTGAATATGGACACTGAAACAGATATTACTGTGTTAATGAAAGATTACTACTTAAGCTTCTTACCATATATGATCGGGTTAAGACAAGGATTTGCGGCCTCCAAGAAGGTTAAAGCTGTGTAGACGATTACTGACGGCCATCTGTGGTGCGTAACACAAACCAGACATTAATATGATTTCCAATTTTTTGTATAGTTTTTAATGATTTTACACCAAACAAAATACCAAAATTCTGAACAATCAATTCATATTTCTTATTGTATATGATCATATGTAAAGCCGTGACTATATCGAACGCTATCTTCTTCTAACATGAACTGACTTTAGTATTCAAGGGTTCAGTTAAATGCTCAACTCACTAACTCGAGGGTGTGTGACTGTGGCACAGTAGCATGTGTAGGAACGTTTTTACATTGGTTTTGAAATTCGCATCATTCACTTGTAATACATAGTGCCACGATATTTCCAGATTTAAAACCTCATACTTTCTCTTTATATATGAATACTTTCCCTGACATCTCTGAAACGGCCGAGTCGAATAATAATATTTCCGCTTACCCGGATCTTCTTTGGCCAGTATTGCTTATAAATGAGATATTATAGATATTTTCCAAATGATATATTTTTTCTTATAATATTTCTAACACCACACAAAGAAACATTACAGCTATATGACGGGGGTCTGTAATAATCGAGCCTGGACCAAAGAATCTAGTGATGGAAATGATGAGCATCGATCAACGTTAGTGGCATTAGGTAGCATGATACCTGATGGTCTGACTACCCGAAACCGTTCGCCACGTCTTATGACAAGCATGGGTTACTAAAGATCAGTTCGTTTTGTAGTATATAGAAAAACAAAACGTCACATTACCCACAGATCCAAAATACAACGAAGGGAGCACAACAGAAGAGGAACACAACGTCTGAAAAATATATTTGTGTATTCATTAGATTCTTGTGCACCAACACTATATAAACTATGTGTAATATAATCCGGTCCCGTTGCGCGTACTTTCAATATATCTGAATCTATCTATATTAAAACATGTTTGTATTTATATTCTTAAACGAGCCGTAGTAAAACTGCAATACTCAAGTATAATAATTGGTTTAACAGGCCCATTATACAGTTACATAAGTCATATCACGAAAGTGGAAATCTGGAGCGCCATAACACTGTACAAGGTCAATAAACATACACTTAATGGGTTGTACAAGTTTTGTTAAGGTAAGTGTTACGTTGTTTGAATGCAAGAAACAAAAACGTCGCTAAACGATTTAAAATACCTGAATCATGTGATGTGCAGAGTAATACAAGTTTATCATAAGAAGGATGAGTACAATAGAACTCAGGCAAAGTTGTATGTCTGAGATTATAGTAAAAAGGACATTCCAAGCACATGTGATATTCTGTCTCAAGTACAGGTATAACACAAAATGGACATATTCTAGAATTTCTTGTCAGACCAGATTTTCTTCAAGACTCTATCATTAACTGATGGCCCGAACACCGAAATATACTCAGAGCCTTACGATAAGCTGGTACATCCAGACAAGTTAAATACACCTCTCTCTCAAAAGAAAGTTTCATGACAAAATATGAATTCTGTTTAGGATAAGAATGAATACGTGTAAACCAAGTTTGTGTATCTATATCAATACATCTATTTCTAAAGGTTCCTATAAAAGATGAAAGGTCAAAGTCTAGTCGGTTTTTCCATACATATCCAAAACCACAATTGTCTAATAGCTGTTTTACTTGTAACGCCAAACAAGGTATTTCAATTTCTGCTAGTCTATATTGGTAAAGATAAGCATTTGATCAGATTATATCGTCATTCTGTTGAATCAACCGTTCCCAAAAACTGATAATTCTTACAAATTGATTTACTTTCAGTGAATAACGGCCTAATTCACCACGAGCTAAAATATTTGGAACTCCTTTTGGAAGATGCAATATTTCCTTTAATACTGTTCACACTCACTGACTCCTTCACTCATTAAAGTCAAATACACAAAGCGATACCAGGAATCTTTGTGTTTTGCGTAGTCTGTGTCAGTCTCATTACCAACACTTTCACAAGTGGAAATACCTTTATATTGAAATCAAGGGGATCATTAATTGTGTTTTAACCTTACATTTTGGTACACGCATTTCGACTAAAATATACTGTAAGTGGGCTGGATCCGAGTAACATTTATATCCATCAGTTCGTTTCAAGCGTACCCGTTACAAGCATGCAAATAGTCCTATCAAGGACAGTTCATGCATACCGTAAGCCAAAACTATTCCAATATCTCTGCCAATGAACTGAAGGTCTGTGGAGGAGTCATCGTCACGTGTCATCATCTCAAAGCTGAGTGTTCCTTAAGAAAGAACAACACCAGTACATTGTAAATTCTAAATACTCAACAATGTCGTACTCACATGTGTCACAAATATTGCTTTTAACTTGACGTCACACCTTCGTAAACGACATATCGATATATCATGGATTTTCTACCCACTGAATTATATAATCTACCAATTCTCTATTAAACATTGGCAAAAACTGAGAAAATGCATTTGGTATGCACACATATATGTACTTCAAAAAGGCTAAAATATACTTCCATTAAAGTTACCTTTTCTACAGCACCACACAAACAATGATGGGAGACCAAACAGAAACATCATCAGAAATGGAGGTAGGAAATACACCGCCATTTCCACCCCTGGCAGTACATTTAAACATTCTACAGCGCAGAAATAGGCCTCGTTATTGTATCCAGTGGTCATCAGACGGAAGAAGTAGAACTGAAATGAGATTCAGATGCAGAACGTCCGAACATAACTCATATTGTCTTCTGTTACTGATAGCCAAATATTTAAAGGCACTAGCAAACAACACTGTCTTCTGCAAATGCAGAAAAGCAAATCCTGGTCGAAAGAGTCGCTTCTCACACTGAAAGTACAGTTCCGATTCCCCTTAGAGGGATAAGATCTAAGTCTTGTTGTTCCTGTAATTAGAGAGGACTAGCCAGTAGTACCGTTTGGATATTTGTGAAACAATTATTCGTTCGAAGCCATCAAACATTTTCGCTGTAACTCTGTTTAAAATAACAACAGATATGCTTGTTCCTATTGCCAAATGCCCAAAAGCTGCGCTCATTACATTGAAAATGCATTTTCGATTCCCATTTGAGAAAATTCCAATTCTTATGGCTTATATACAGTATATTTCATAACCTTATTCTCAACATGTGCATACCTTAAGGCCACTGATAATGGAGGCAGTTACAAAGGACAACAGCAGGAAGACGATACGCAACGCCTTGATGGAGCGACGGCAGGTGATGGTGAAAAGATTATCAATATTGAATCCAGCCAGAATGAGATGGGACATAGTACCTCCAAACAACTTGATACCTGCAAATATTTTACATCCGTAATATCCGCCTTTCCAGAAAACGGTTGCATAAAGCCCGATGCGGACACCGCTGCGGATGCACAAGCCCAGCAAATCAGCAACACAAATGACAAGGAGGTAAAAATGCATCCTGCTGCCTGTCTTCCATGATTTGTAGAGAGACCTGATCATCCATATGTTGGTACAGACTCCAATGTATAGTAGAACACTGTCTACTACGAATTCCGTTGTATATGGTACTGTGTCTGCCATAATGTCGAAATGATAATCGGTTGTGTAGTCACTTGAGTTGAAATATTCCAAGACGGATCTACTTCACGTTTAGATCCCCTGGTGTAGAATGTGTTCAGCAAACTGGATGACTAACAAATACACGAGGTAATTGTAGATCATTAAGGTCGGCAGGATACTCGTGTCAAACGTATAATTTTAGCCATGCTGATAATTACTTATAGCTTGGCATTAGATTGGCACGGATAAAGTGCAACGTGAAAGGTCGTCAGTGTTGGTTTTGCATGCATGTTAAAATTGTATAATTTGATTGAGTGGGTTCCTTGAACTTCAGTTCAATGTGATGCAGAGCTCTTGTGTTGATCACCTTGCTGAAAAACGAAGCACTCGAAACGTTTCTTGACCACACCTAGAGACACAGCCGGATTTGAAACCCAGAATGAAGCTTTTGGTATCCTCTAGGAGCAAATAAGCTATCAATGCTCCTTGCATGGCTTGTAGTGAAATCGTTGTAGTGATATTATTGTCAATGACAACACTCCTATCAGTGTTAAGCCCACCCGGGCTTGCTTTCTTCTGTGGAGTATGAAGAAAGGAACTATGATTTGGAAATAGACATTGTTTTTAGAGAGACGTAATACCACGTGGCGAGGAGGTGTTTTTACGATAACAGAAAGCTAGACATGCAGCAATAAGCCAGAAATATGAGAAGCACACACACACACACACTGTTTACAAAAGGACTAGCACACTTCCACATTAGACAACAGTTAAGTTAGAACCTATCCCGGAACAATCCCCTGCCAAACCGTTACATACAGAAGCATGTGCAGCTCAAAGCCAACGTCCTAATACTCTCTAACACTATGATGTCATGAATGACATAAGGGCGGTGGGGTATCCTAGTGGTTAAAGCGTTCGCTCGTCACGACGAAGACCCGGGTTCGATTCCCCACGTGGGTACAATGTGTTAAGCCCATTTCTGGTGTCCCCCGCCGTGATATTGCTGGAATATTGCTAAAAGCGGCGTAAAACTAAAACTCACTCACTCATGAATGAATGAATGTTATAACGTGAGAGCAACATTTCTAATAAACAGTTCCAATTAAAACAGAGGCAGTTTTGCATTTTGCCGAACAATATTCCCACAGATCATGACTCTTTATCTCCATGCTTCACAACTTTTGATGTTCAATCACACGCGCGCCTTGCACGGGGATTTCAAAGAGTTTTATATAAAACGTGTTGTTCATTCAGAGTTACACTATTAAATACATACCTTTATGAAGCTTTCAAGATATCGTCGCCTGAGAACCAGAGCGTTCTATCTCACCAAAACTTGGTTTCGAGATACGGAGTCCCAAAGATTGAAGTGTATGTAAAATGAATATTTGCAAAGGAAACTGTTTGAAACTTTGCATGTAGGTGCATGTTGTAATTCTGAAACTGGAGAACCATGTTTTAATTATTCAAAAATTAGATTTAACCTATAAATAGCAAAAAAGTGTTTGAAAATGTACGTGTACATCTTTATATTTTGAATTTCCTTACTTGAAAAAAACATGAATAAGACAAATGGTAAAGAAAATACCTTGATTTTCAAAACAACACTTTGAGTAATGCTATTTTTCTGATTTCCATGCATGAGTGCATAGGCTTGAAACCAACATGTAATTTTGCTATTTCAAACCAAAAGTATGCTGGTCATTTATATTTTATGGTGATTTCCTTTAAACATATGGGGATATATAAGAACTCGGAGGGAACATTTGGCAAACGTCAAACAATTATGAACAAGAACTGGTACAGGAAAGTTAAAATATTGATATTGAGAATCAAACTTACATTGTGATGTATAATTCAGACTGGATGTTCTGATTATCATCTTATGGATTAATTGGATGAAGCCATGTGTTCATTATAAGAGCATATCCCTAATAAAGTCTACGAATCAACATCAAACAATCTCTTAAAAGTTTCAAAACTTGGAACAGGTATAAAGTACATTGCCTTAGAGAACTAGAACAATGAACTCACTAAACACATCAGCCAAAGATTGATGTCCTTAACATGGATCACTGTTGTATTGTTTAAGGAAAGACAATCAGTTTTGTGGAATCAAAAACAAACAATCTCTTAAACAACTTCAAAACTTGGAACAGTTTTAAAATACTTTACCATTGAGTTACAAGATGAACTCGCTAAACATATCAGACACATATATATTGATGTTCCTAAACCATGAACATCAAACATGTTCTTAAATGAGTTTATCTTATGAGATCAAGCCACTCATAAAAAGTCTATCTGTTGGGGTCATGAATTTTAACATAGATCTAAAGTCTGCAGCTTTCTCCTTGGACAGTTCATGTTTTGTGGAACAAGGTTTGACTGTCGGCCAAGTTTCAGCACAAGCTCCTCTAGGTGGAGACGACATCCTCCTCATATCCTGTTCTCGAGGACGCACTGAGACACGATTGAGTTCAGCATTCACCTCAAACGATGTACGATATGTCACCCCTAAAAGATCATTGGTGTTATAGATCATGTGTTTGACCTTAGGGAAAGGGATGTCCTTACAGTTTAGAGTTCTTGCTGCATATCTTTTGAAATGATGCTTTTGCCTCTGAATTATCACAACTGGATTCCGCATTACACGTTTAAAGCTCTTGATTACTCCAAGAAGACTGAAAACGTCAGTATTACTGAGTTGTTTTTCAAGGTGACTGTGAATGTTATCAACTTCTTGAATGCTTGAGTGGCCTGGTTCTGGTCCCTCATTCTAAATTCCTCACACCTATCACGTATATCTTTTTTTAGGGGTATGGATGTCCAAATTGAATTCTGTGTTGAATATTAGGCGATACATGTGTTCTTTGACAGGATTCTGTTTTTCCTGTTCACACTTTTCTAGATAGAGACGGTACATTTGTGTTAATAAGAGATCTTTATCCAAGAACAGTTTCTTGTTGGATTGCCTGCAGTAATGAAATTCCATTGTGGGAAGCGATTTTATATGGTTTCTGACAAAGTCTTTGGTATCAGAATTGATTCTTTTGTCAGCTTTCCTCGTTGATCATCAGATAAAGGATTTGCCGTTTCAAAGATGTGTTTCGTCTCAAAATAGTAAGACATTCGCCTCTGGGATACTTGCAAGGTGGTGAGGTAGAACTCCTTACAAACACGTATATTTTTGTAATTGATGTAGAAATAGTATTCATATCAATACGATCTTCTATTCTCCTCTTTTTCGTTTTTTTCTTACACCTTTCCGCAGTTTTATTATAGAAATGACTTTTTGGGTCATCGGAAAAAGACTGCCTTCTCTTCTGTGCTAATTTTCTGGGCACATTTGAATTTGCATTTTCCATTACAGGCTTTTGTTGTTTTTTGTTTGCGTTTCAGAATTTGTAATCCACGAGTGGAGACATATCATCCGCCTGATCGTCTGAGGATTTTCCTTTGTTGTTTTTTTTCCATGATGCTGGTTGTCTCTTACGTTTTCGGGAACTTGAGGGCTCAATCAACTTGAACCAGGATATTTAGAATCGATTATGATCTGCGGAATTTGATTCATTTATGTGTGAATTTGAAATTTCAACAATTTGAGAAACGTGAATTTCTGTTGTTTGGATTGATGGATTACATGTATTCGTAGTCTGATCAGAAGACACTGCATTGCCATCATTGCCCATATTAATAACCGGTTGTACCTCATAAACATTATCATTATCAGCAGAATCATCATCTTCATTTTCTGTTACGCTAGAACTTGATCCAGTTCAAGAATTTGACTCAGTTTTCTATTCTGTATTGGCAATCAAGAAATTCCTGTTCAATATAGTAATTAAGTCCGCTTCATTGAAGGAATTGTCCAGACTCAGGCTAAAAAAATGTCAGGGAACAGTAATAAGCAATGCTTAAAAATTCAATGCAGTTATCCAAATTGAATTTGACTCCAAATGCTTCCAAATTGAAACAACTCCTTGTCTTTTGAAATATTTCTGTCAAGGTCTTCGGACTCACATGAGTGAAGCTCACATTTAGATATTCCAGTTTTTCACATGCTTTGATGATTATAAAACTGTCATCACATAGATATTTGCAGTGTTCAACGAACAGTTCAAGGTTGGGCAAACTAACAAGAAATCCAAGAGTAGAAACGTTCATCTCTCTTATGTTTGTCAGCTTGAAGAAATCCTGTTATGAAAATATAATCAGTGACGGACACTGGTCCTTCAACTTCCGTAAAAGATATCTGTAAACACCAAAAGCAATGGGACCAGGGCAGTAGACTATGCAGCTGTTTAAATGTCAATTTGAGGCCATAGAATTCTGTGTCTTTCCTAATCTTTGGTGAATTCAGGATAAGGTGATGCAGATATTGGCACGCTCTGCACACATTCAATAGTAGTTCCTTCAAAGGTACTTAGCTTAGAATGTCTATGATGATTTCCTCAGGTAACCTTGTTAACATTTCACTGCATCAGGAACACTGAAAAGATGAAAAATATGTGATGTTGAAAAATGTTCTATGTCCAACAACCATAGTAGGAAAACATGACATACTCTTAGAACCAGAGTATTCTATCTCCATGTCAAACTTCATATAGTGCCTTTACTCCAAAATATCAGTTGTTACATTGCAAATTAATATATTGGAATGCCAAGGGGTAATTATCACTTATTGCACACTTTTATCCATTCGAGAAAACAAGAGTTACAATGAAAAAGTGAAGATAAATACTCACCATTTCCATGTGACATCCGACGAAAGTTCAGGTCCAGATTATCCTATCTCCAAGTCATGTGACCAAATCGACAGTTTGGATTAGTTAGGGACATAGAACAGTATGGAACTGAAAACCTTTTTAATTTGTGGAGATAGAACTGATGTTAATTGTCTGAAAAACACTTTCTAAGCAAGATACAGCTGACTGACTGACTGACTGACTTTGGTTTTAAGCCGCTTTTAGCAATATTCCAGCAACATCACGGCGGGAGACACCAGAAATGGGCTTCACACATTGTACCTATGTGGGGATTCGAACCCGGGTCTTCGGCGTGACGAGCCAACGCTTTAACTACTAGGCTACCCCACCGCCCCACTAGATACAGCTACAAAATTGTATTTGGAGATAGAATACACCTTGAGAAGTACCCAGAAAACTCATTTTTTTAAAAGTGGAGATAGAACACTCTGGTTCTCAGGTCACGATATGTCTATGCATAAGAGTTGTCGATAAAATTTCGAAATTTGTCAAATTTGAGGCAAAAATGTTAGCTTGAATTCCCTATTTTGACTTTTTCCCCCATGTAAGTTGCCTTTGGCATTTGTTTGTGGACCTGTGAAGGAGATTCATAAACACTTGCCTATAATAAAGTCGTTGCAATGGACTCTACGCACAAAAAACCGTGTCCCTTGCTTCGACAAAATAATAAACATTTACAGGATTGTAACAAGTTGGAAATCTATGATTACTGCCCATATGAAGGTATTATGCACTGTTACTGTTTACACATGTTAACAGGCGATAAAATAGAGCTTCACAATTCGGACGAAATCTCTCCTGTGCGATCAGGCACAAGCCAATCACACATCGTAAGGTGCATGCACACATGGATTGATCAGGCCATTGAAAACGTACGTGTGTGTAAAACGAAAACTCATCATATAGCTGTTTTGCAGTTAACGCACAGTAAAAAGGCAGTCTGCAATATAAACATAAACGCTCGTCTCTATATCGATCAAACGCAAAAACGAAAAAAACAAACAAGTTAGAATAATAGTATAAATGTTTAATGGAAAAACAATCCCTCTTAAATACTATATGTATATTTTGTATAAAGGCGTAACATTCACCACGGAGAATTTGCTTCCGCAAGGTGACTATGTTCCGACTTGCCTGTTAGCACCTAGATGTTCACTGACCCATTTTGATGAAATGGTCAGGAGAAAGCGTCCCAGTTTACTATTTTTTTCTCCGCGAATGGCCACGAACGATAAAGTAGTGGTATATGTTGTTGTATACTGTTTTAACATTATTCCACCAACGTTTCAAAGAGGTGAACCAACAATGAACCCAACATAATTTATTGTACTCATATTTTGGATAGTTAAACCTCAATCAAGGTTCCGCTTGGACCACAAGACTCCCTGATCCAAGCTGTATAGAATGCATATATCTATGATGCATGCAAATCTGCAGTATTTTACGTTTGAGTAAATCATATAATATACTGTCATAAAGCAAGTATAAAAGGATGGATTTGATAGGGTGTATAACAGTGAGTGAATGTTCCTGAATACCGAGGCTGCAATTTTGTATCAGCTATTTGCGGGAGAACTGACGGGATACAAAGCAAACTACGTTAATATGAGTGAGGTTTGTGAGCTGCTGTGTTCAGAAAGCAAGTAAACGATTGCCATTCAAGACGGCAATTTATGCCTGAATGCATGCATGTATGATGCACGTGCATCTCGATTTCAATGTTGTGTTTGTGCGAACTCTTCTCTTCCACAAACAAAAACATTTCAAACTTCAATCTCAAACAATACTTTATTGGGCAATACAGGCTTTACGACCACGATTCATGTTTTCCTCAAAGTTGACTTCCGGTCTATATTTTAAAAAAATAGGTTCAAATACCTCATTGGCACTTAAATGTCATTTCCAATTTTAAGACGTTTCTTTTGCCTTTCAGTATATTTGGAAGGCTATTATATGTTTGAGAAGTTAACACTGGCGAGATACAAAGCGAAATACGTTAACACGTTACGTTTGTAAGCTGTGTTCGCAATAACCACGACAGTTGGGAACAAACAATGGGTTTCAAACCACGTGCAAATCGGTCTCTCTCGTCTCAGCATTGCATGATGACAGCAATGTGTTCAAGCTATGTATTGTAGGATCGACACAGTATCTTCCTCGGATAAATATATTTGGTAGGTTATTATATGTTTTAAAAGCTAACACAAAATGGTTTCCGTTTCAGATTTAGTTAAATATTGATGAATCATGAAGCATTATTTTTGCAATCATTATAAATCATCTACGTGCCACTCAAATGCATGAAATATAGACCGCCTCCGTGGTGTAGTGGTTAGAGTGTCCGCCCGGAGAGCGGAAGGTCGCGGGTTCGATCCCCGACCGCGTCATACCAAAAGACGTTAAAATATGGTACTTGTTGGTCCCTGTCTGGCGCTCGGCATTAATGGGTACAACAAGGACTGGTCGGCTCGGAGTCAGTATAATGTATCTGAGTGGGGTAGTCATGATTCACTGCGGCATGGTATCTCAGTGGGCTAGCACTATAAAACCAGCTTAAGTCTGGGCTAGTACAAGCAGCCTCACATACACATACATACGCATGCACGTCGTCATATGAGCGAAATATTCTCAAGCACGACGTTAAACCCAATTTCACCTCACCTCACCTCACCATGAAATATAGGTATTCCTGTTTGTATGATGACACTAAGAGGAGCCATTGTCTTTAAACACGTTCAATCCAGGGTAGTGGTTCAGTTTCCGGAACGCTGTCATACAACTGTAATATTGCTGCATGCGGCGTTAAACAAATACACAGAAACGTGTTCATCATATACACGTAGTCGGAACTGTCCAATTCACTCTGTTTTTACAGTGATTTCTTATGGATGTGGAATGGGTTTGGTCGCTTTTGTTTTCTGGAGAGTGAATGAATATGGGTACTGAACACAAAACTATACAAGACATAAAGGTAACTTCAAGCTGAATAATATATATACAAGATGCCATGGACATTAAAGGTATAGTAAAGTAAAGGTTGTTTGTCTCCAGCAGACGACAAACGGGTAAAATCAGTTAAAAACTCCAGATGGAAATAACGTTATTAATCACAATGATCATGTCCCTGAGTGGTGTCAAATATTGCTCTTAAAATTCGTATTTTCTTATTTTCATCATTGCTGTGCAACATACTGAGCAGGTACTGCATGCGTATAATGTGCTTCAGAACAAATTCTGTTGCATCGATAAACATGTAAATGGATTAAACATATTGATGTATTCCAGAGGGATCTTGCAGCTCCAGGTGAATGTATTAAAACTGCTATTTTACATTACGTTCATGTGAGTTGGTCTCTCAACAACAAGAACTTCGAATGTGTAGTTTGAGCAAGCAGATATTGTTTGTTTCCAGATATTAAACTGCTGGCATATATGCACACAGAGCAGCAAATACCCTGGACAACTTCATATCATTTGCAGAAGCCCTCGGTCTTTTTCAACTGCACTCCTTCGTCGGGCAGTTAATGGAAGACCTCGGGCTTCTGCAAATGATATTGCCCTAAAAAAATAGCATTACCCTTATATTATATAGGACATCAAACGTGAAGAAGAAATATGAAAACGCAGAGTGTAACTATGCATGTTTATTTTTCAGAAGAACTTGAAGCAAAATAAAGAAATAAATAATTCTGACACCTTTGTAAAACTGCATTCATAGTTGCAACAAAGCATGACCATGCATATTCTTGAATTAAAGAAAATGACAAAACTTTGAAGAATATATAACTATCAATGGAAAGATAAAATCTGTTTGACAGGCTAACTGAAACGAAATACAATCACCGATTTTCGAGTATCTGTATGCTACACGTGGTCGCTACTAACATATGTACTGTATGTGTTTTCAACAGTGTAACACTGCTTTTTATTGATGAATATGTTCATAGAGGGTATGTATACCAAAATTAGGCTAGGAAACAAAAGCGTGTAGATGTATTGCCAAGAACGGTTGTTAGAGACAGTAAAATGGCATCAGAACATACATGTATAACTGTTTGTCGTAAGGTTGAATGGAGACATTATAATAGTATCTTACGTTGCTGACATACAGCAGATGTTTCAGTATACAGACAATATACAGAGAGCAAGGGGCATGTCATGTATACGTCAAAAACACTCACACATGGGACCTATTACGAACGGGTATTTACAATAAAAGCAGCCGTTTTTGTGCAAGATGGCCCAGGATCCACAGGCCAGTATCTCCGCCATCTTTCATCAACAAACACTGCAGATAGTTTGAAAGGGTAAACATATGAATATCTATGTGAAGCAGATTTGTAGGAAGACACCAAATCATGTTTCTGTCACAATGCAAAGTACAATTTATTGTTTGTTTCATAACACACTGAGAATTCCATGGGATTGTGAATACTGAGTTAATAGTCGAATATCATTGAAGCCAGTATTAGAGTGTGTTAGAATAGGCCATTAGCTATTCCGTAAGAGATCACAAATGGGATCGGGTAATCTGACTTGGATGAAGCTTGCCATCGTAGCTCATTGGATTATCTAGTGAGGATTCAACTTGGCTGGAATATTGAGTGCGGTTTTACATTTTTTAAGGCTGCTTTCTGTAAAACACAAACGTCTTCATTGATACAAAAAGATATACATGTGTGTAGAATATCTCAATAGGTAATGTCCATGCCAAATAAATATATATCATGGTTACAGAAGACGTTCCACAAGGAGAAAATAGATTTGAGATGTAAACATCGGTCGTCTTTTCGTTCCGGTCATTGTTTGGGATTGTGACTATTTTGACTTTTACAGTCCAGAAGAAGTTTTTTCTCTCCGTCTGCCAATGCAGTTGAATATGGCTGAAAGTACAAAGAATTCATAAAATACATTGTACATTGACGATGTAAATCACGGATTAGTGTGTCAACAATTACTCAATAAAAAGTAATCACCATGCCCATTGCTGCTAGAAGACAGCTATTTAGTTGTTTGTTGTTTGTCGTGGTTGTTATTTATCATCATATCACAGTAATGCCCAAACTGAAATCTTTCTAACTGTAATTGTTGGAGATGATCGAATTTGAAATTATGTAATTTCACAGCATAAGTTGTATTCTGTTGGTTCTTAGAAAGAAATTCGACAAAAAACTACAGTTGACGTGAATTTGTGTAAGTCAGATATATATACACAGGCAATATGAGTACGTCTTATATAAGAGGTGTTTCTTTATACATGTCTTGCAAATTACACTTGGGTAACTTCATGTATGAAGGCAAACGTTTGTCATTCTGTTAACCATTGACAGAACAACCTTGGGAGATGCAAATGGGTGCTATCCGTCCATAGCGTATTACAATTATTAATTCTTTATTCTCATAAACCACCTTGGTGGTACAAGAGCATATATCGTAAACATATATACAAATACAAATTCAAATTCAAGATGGCAGTAAACAACATATTAACATTTTTCGGACAAGAGATGATAGATGTAGGATATATTTTGATAGATTTACTGTCTCGAGATGTTTTCACAGTTAATATTTTCGTGAACTTTGTTTCATTGGCAAAGAGGTTAGATGGGAGGGTAAATACTGTTTCCTCAATGTATCTAATGCTTTGCAATGAAAAATATAATGTTAGTCATTAGCGATGCTTTTAGAAGTGCATAGTTGACACGTTCTCTCGTCCCTTGGAATATTATACCAGCACCCCGTCTCAATAGCTAAACTATGGTTACATGTTCTAAATCTCAATGATGGTAAAGAAATGCGTTTTGGAAGGAGGAGATATACATCAAAATTAGGAAATGACTTTAGGTGCTGATAGTGTATTCCCTTGGGACTAGAAATAATGTCATTGTGCGAAAATTTGGGTAAATTGATCTTTAAGAATATATTCAATTTTTTAGAGCAGCCACTGGGTTGTACAAATTGAGGGTTTTCCAAAAACATACGAAAGTCCAGTATTGTCTAATATATTTTTAACGTGCGAGAGCCAGGGATTATCTTTTTTATTTATTGTTCTTTGAAGTGGTAAATACTTGTAAATTAAGTTCGTAAGCTTAAAAGCACCTTATTGGTAAGTTAACTTATGCCAAAAGTTTAATAAACGTTTATATATCATAATTCTAATAGGGAATCTTCTTAGTTTCCCATACAGCATAAAACGAGAGGTTGAATTTCTTTATCCTGCAATGAGTCTTAAGAATTTTAAATGAATTTTCTCCAAAATTTCATGGTTTTCGAAAGACCAGACATCTGCACCATAGGTCAAGATAGGAACTACCATTTTCACTGAACTATACATTGCTTTTGAGGCACTATTGCTTACAGTTTTAATACTTGATACGAGTTTTCTATTTCTATTGCGAGTAGCTTACACTGGAAAAAAGTCCATGTTTACGAGACATTTCCAATTTTAAGAAAGATGATGTTTCCAAAGATTTACTATTTTGGAAATGTCCACAAGGGGAGATAACTGGTGGGTGATGGTAAATCATTGTTATTTGCACGCCCCGGGACCTAATCCCTTGTTGATTGATGAGTGAGTCACGGCAGTTAATAGTCACCAATTAACAAGGCCTACTGCCTTGTTAATTAACAAGTTATTATGCCTCTTAAAGGTCACATGCAACCAAAAAATCGAAAACATAATTAAATCACAATTATCACTTCTTTATGACATATAATATGCATTGCTGGTTATGAAAAAACAAATAAACAAAATAATAAGCGTATAATTGCAAATCAAAAGTGCAATATTTTGTACTTTGGTTTACCTCCCTCGAAACGAAGCAGCCGGGATACCGAACCCAGTCAGGGCTGGTGTAACGGCTGGTTCATTTGCAGATGCCCTCACGGCTCATTGTGTGTGTATATATAGATATGTTGGGTTTTGTAAATACATGCTCATTTTTTGTGTATAACATTTTGCAATCAACAGACATCATAACATGTCATGTGTTCAAGTATCACACCTGCCTGTCTGTGTAATTACATAATGTGACAGAGACCAAACTCGGGCCATAAATCAATGCGTTTTGTTTATGGTGTATAGCCTGATTGGTGTTAAGTTCAAATTGCATGTGGTCAGTGTTCGCAGTTGTGTATTGAATATTGTCATTAGCAGACAGGCAGGCAGACACACAGGTGTCAATAAAACAAGACATTGAGTTTTGTCTGTGACAAAGACATATCTACATAGTATATCACAGTTAGAAATTCTGTCAACGCTAAATAATGACATTGCTTTTAAGTATCGAACTAAGAAAGTGACTCGGTAAGAAGAACGTGTGGGGAAATAGACATATGAAATTATATAAACAGTTTATTTACTGTCATAACATATAAAAAGCTCGCGCCTGTGAGATATCAACATAACATTATGAAAATAGCTCACACCAAAGCCTTCACCGAGTATTCACCAGACAGGTTGCGCGAACCTATTTCACTGCGCACATGCTATGAGCGCAGCCCAGCTGTTGAAACCCGTTTTCCCCCGAAATTTTCGGGGGAAAATTAGTGAATCGTTTGAAATCAGATTTCGCGCGGTTTTTTTCATCGCGTTATTTTTCAACTTTATAACTTGAATTTGCATTTTTGATGATTTGTTTCGGTAAGTCCATACCGAAAGGTATCAGAATCTGCAAAGTTGTGTTTTACGTTGCATGTGACCTTTAAAGAAGCCTCTGGAAGTAAGTTAAATCTTTGATGGGCATTAAGAAGTAGAATGCATTACTGTGACCTGATTTTCACATGATGAAGGAGCAAGCATATGCTCCGAAACTTCGTGTTATTCACAATAAAGAAGTTGACATCCATAAATCTTGCTTTTCTTATTAAAAAGGTAAGTTATTAAAATCTGCTGAGCTGTAGGCTTGTTAATCATGTCGCGGTGTGATTATCGCTCTAACACACCTGAGAGATTCGTCAACAGTGTGGTATGCACATGCGGTGAAACTTGTATTGTATTACATTGGGTTGGTTGCATATTGTTTTGTGTTATGCTGTCAGTTTGTATGTATGTGTGAATGAGGAACCTCACATATTATGACATTGAAAACAGACTAAACTTAACATTTATTCCATGGTCAATATCGCAATGTTAGTGATATGGTAGTATACGCAAGTTTGTTTCACAGTTTTGATAATACCTTCTTTTAACCAGATAAAATTATTAAAAATGAACGAATAATGCCATGCTTCTCTCAGAGTAAGGGAAGATAATTCATATACTGATTCTGATCAAATTAGATATTTCTTTATCGTCCGAACAGAATTCACAAATTACGGATGTTTTGTGTGGGTGTGGGTGTGTGTGCATGCACGCGTGTATAACATCTAACTTGATAGGTATTAAAATCAGGTCGTTTGTAACCATAATGACTATATTGGTTGGAAGACTTGAGGAACAAAATACTTTCACTCTTCAAAAGGAACTGGAACAGTAACATTTTTCATGTTTTCATATGAGCTTCAAAACATTGAATGAAATAAATGCTGTATGATGAAATGGATCAGAGAACATTATCATGGCATAAATGACGTCTGAATGACACATGTAATGGTCAAAAATATATAATCACTATGTTAGTTAACTCATGACCAGACACGTCAAACTGGTACCGATAGATGTATATCTAATACGTAAAAATTCAGTATTTCTTAGTACCTGAAGTAGAAAACACGAATTTGGAATGAGATGTTTTAATCTGAGATCAATCTGTTAGGTAGCAGTTTACTAAAGTAGAACTTAAATCAACTTCAAAAGATTGGTCATTCGCAAAGTGAAGCAGATCTTACTTATACTGCAGTAAACAGTATGGGGATACACAACGAAACATACCACTTACGTGATAACAACTCCCTGTTTATTGCATAGCATTAAACAGCGGAATGTTGATTGATTCACTTGGAGAATGGAGTGGATTTAGACTTGTTGATCTTACTCTCCTGTTGGCCCCGAACGACGTGCTACGTGAATTACCTGTTGTTAATTTGCAACGTTTATTGCAGGATAAACAAGGATAAACAAGCTGATTGAATGTTGATTGATTCCATCACTTGGAGAATGGAGTGGATTTAGACTTGTTGATCTTACTCTCCTGTTGGCCCCAACGACGTGCTACTTGCTGAATTACCTGTTGTTAATTTGCTGCTTGTCACTGTGGATATATACCTCTATTCACCTGGTTGTAGTAACTTTTATCTTGATAACGGCGTGAGAATATACATGGAAACTCCCCTCTATCGACCTTTGATCCAAACGGATGAGTTAACAGAAATGTTGATGCCCGTCTGTTAGCAAATTAACATTGGATTAAATGCTCTCATTCGCATAATCCGGAATATCCTCTTCTATCAACACGTAGACCTATCGTTGTCTCTATAATCAAATGTTAATTTGCTAATATGCTAGCATATGCTTGCTCCTTCATCAGGTGAAAATCAGATCACAGTAATGCATTCCACTTCTTAATGCCCATCAAAGATTTAACTTACTTCCAGAGGCTTCTTTAAGAGGCATAAAACTTGTTAATTAACAAGGCAGTAGGCCTTGTTAATTGGTGACTATTAACTGCCGTGACTCACTCATCAATCAACAAGGGATTAGGTCCCGGGGCGTGCAAATAACAATGATTTACCATCACCAACCAGTTATCTCCCCTTGTGGACATTTCCAAAATTGTAAATCTTTGGAAACATCATCTTTCCAAAATTGGAAATGTCTCGTAAACATGGACTTTTTTCCAGTGTTATGATGAACTTTAACCGTCTTAAAGTTTTTCATTACATCAATTCCCATTGTATCAAATTCGACTGTAATTCCTTACTTACTTCACAAGAGATCAACTGTTTTAAGTATATTTTTAACAAGCAGAAACCACCATTATATTCAGTGATGGCCAATGTTCCAAGTAATCGTCTCTTAGTAACACCATCTCAATGAAATTGCTAAAGGTGCCATTGCAACTATAATTATATGTTTTTGACCATTTAGAACAAATCCAAGCCAGTCTTGTTTGTTCAAGAACACCCACCGGAACAAGCCATTGGTTGAGATGTGAGTGTTAAAAAAGGTGCGGTCCTGTGTGAAGCTTAGAACAGAGAATATCCGGAACTTCTGACAATGTGAGAGTTTGTGAGTGGAAGGAATAAAGATCACACATGCATTTGTACTAATTGTGTCTACATGGCAATACAGGATGTTTTTAATCTGGAAATGGTTTTGTCGCTTTTTGTTTCAGCAACTGAATATATCTCTTCTTTTAAGATGTATTTCAAATACGTGTATTCCACTTGTCCATAAGGACACTTAGATAGATATTTATGTTGTTACTCCTAATGTTACTTACCATATATGAACGGGTTAAGACAGGGGTTTGCCGTCTCCAGGAAGATTAAAACTGTGTAGACGGTTGTTGACTGGCCTCTGTTTTGTATAATATAAAACAGCTATTTTTATGACACATTAGAATGATATTTGGAAGAAAACTACATATGATGAATTACGCAATCGGCCGTATAACTACTGAGGTTTACACAAAAAAGTATCAAACCTGTTACCGAACAATTCCTATATCTAATCGTGTACATAAAGCCATGGCTAATCTGTCGCTATCTCCATCTAACAGGAACAAAGAAGTATTCAAGTGTCCTCCTTCAGGAACCAAACTGTGGATTTTACAACGTCTGAGACCTGCATCACATCTGGATTTCTCTCTCTGTAATCTGTCACGACAGATGCAACAGTACATCAACTCGTTTATTTGGCATATGACTGTGGCACAGTAACATGTTACTGAAGTTTCTACATTGGTTTCACTTATGATGTATACATTGATATCAGGAAATACAGTGTGCTGAGGTTTCCAGAATTAAAACCTTCGCGTGAGATCCGAAAAATGTCCCTGACATCTCTGAAACAAGCGAATCAAGAAACTATTCATTCCACTAAAGTTCCATTTAAATTTAACTTAAAACCTCACTACATTCTGTAAAACGATACTTTCAACGAAATCATATGTTAATTAACGTCTAGTGTATGTTTGTTTACAGAAGATGCGTCCTTACGTTTCTACTACAATGTAATTTATTCTTGATTCTATAACATACTCAACAAATATTTCTTGTGTTTTTAACACCACTCACACCAACATTCCAGCTCTATGATGGCGGTCTGTAAATATATAACTCTGCACCAAACAATCTAGTGGCTGACATGATGGGAATTGATCTACGGAATTGGGTTAGGATAACATGATACCCGATGACCAGACTACGCGATACCATTCGTCGGGTTGCACGGGTTGCAGCAGATCAATTCTAAAAGGTATTTCGTTGGTCAGTTTTTTCTTGTAAATGACATATAATCTAAGTAATAGGTACTGATCTTCCAAAAGTATTCAGATAAACAAAACGTCACATGGTAACCTCCCAAAACCCCTACAGCTTATAACAACAAAGTTCATGGTCCAGTGTATTGCTTATCTCCTGCCTGTTACCTATTTCATACAATGGACCAGCCCCAACACTTAGAAATTAAGAGAATGATTTGAAACTTAGAATCAAACTTTGCAATTGAAGTGCATAAAAAAAAACAATTTGAAATTATCATCGCTTGTTTTGGAGATACTACGGGAACACACACCCCCCCCCCCCTTTCAGATGACGTACTCATAAGGACATTACTTATTCTTATGTTTTCACTTATTCATATATGATGCCAAGGGTTCAAACTAAATACTGAATGGTCACACAAGTGTCAGCTCTCAATATATTGTAAACAGTGCTAGCTTGAATATCTGGACACAATGTCTTTGAAAGATTAAAATGAGGGTGTCCTTGAAATACATCCCCCGTCTAAATGTACATCAAGCAATCCAGATCTTTGAATGTTGATTATCACGGGTAGTCCTCCAATATATTGAACATATTTTATGTGATATTATCTGAAGGCATACCATTATTCAGCAGGTACCAAATGACATATTTTCATTTTCCTCAATTTTATAGAATAATACTATACCCCAATATGTTGTGATGACTAATATCTCGTTAATCACATTACCGACATATGTGAAAATTAAAATATGGCTTTGCTTATAATTTCTTTAACAAATGGAGGCTTTTCCAACATTGGGCATCGAGAATATAGTTAGGCTGACTACTTTCTGAACGCCCCTTGCAAATACCACTCCAAGTTATCTCAATTGATTTATCTCATTACTATCTCCAAGACTATTACAACTGATATTATTACTATTTTCTAAATCTGTCTACTCACTATGTATACCAGGAAGCCTACAAACTAGTTCAACAATTAATTCATCTCAATTATTTAAAATGAATAATTAAAACCCTACCAACAACAGCACAATCTTCTCATCTATATACTCTATGCAGCTTATTCGCACACTGTATACTCCACCCCATAATCTCTCCTTTTGGTCAGTTCATTATGCCGGACAGGTAAATGCTGCGTGGTGTTTTAACTAACTGTAGGGGTTCTGGGTTGTATGGATTTTGGGAGACAACCCGTCACCTTACCCAAACATCCCATATACAACGAACGGAGCCCAGCGAAGGAAGAAAACTACATCTGAAAAATAAATGATGTGTTAGAACCGGTATAGTTTCGTTATCTTTTAATAAATTTAATTCTGTGTACATTAAATCATGTTTGTAATTATACTATTAATTAATTGCAATATTGTTTAAAACATAACTCACTCAAACCTTCACTCGCAAAACTCAAATGCAGAAAGTTAAAGTGATGCCAGACTTCTTTATCGTTCAAGTAGTGTGTCAGCCTCATCACCAACACTTTCAAAGATTAAAATACCTGAAGAATGAGGACTATTTTTATGGATATACAACTTCTTTATTCTGTATAGGCGTCGTGTTCGACATAGATTCTAATGTCGTTGTCAAGCAAGTGGTGTCATTAGAATTAGAATCAATGTCGGAACGTCGCCTACACAGCATAAAGAAGATATATATCCATATTCTTCATCTACCCAACTTCTACAATGCCAATCAAAGAAATTAAAATACCTTACGCGATATCTAAGTAAAAGCGAGCACATATTTCAGTTTGTTTTAACTATTTTTAACCATTTAACCTTTTTTGTATACATATTTTGACTGACATTCACAAAGAAACAGCTACAACATTCAGTTCGATTCAAGCGTTATTAGCGTACGAATATTCATTACGAGGTTAGCTATCCATACCATAAGCCAGCACTATTCCAATTTCTCTGCCAATGGACTGAAGGGAGTCAATGTCACTTGTCATCTTCTCACAGCTGAGTGTTCCTGGAGAAAGAATAACACCGAAACAGTGGACACTGTAAATAGTCAAGATTGTCGTGCTAACACGTCAAAGTTTAATTCTGGGACACCCCAGAGTATATTTTTTCATGCTTAGCATATATTCAACTGCTTGTTTAATAGTGTCAAATCCTTTGTCAGAGAGTGGCCACTGTGCAGAGTGTTTCTGGACTTTTGGATGTCCAGAAATATATTGTGACGTGTTTACTTATATTTGTCATAAATATTGCTTTTTCCTTGACTCCCCACCATCTTATCAGATCAGACCTCTTTTAATGATTAAATCCAATACAATTGACCAATTCTAATATCGTGCGATGTCAAGAAAGAGCAAACTCTATCCACTTTTAATATATTATCTTATGATTACATAGAACCTAACAGCACTGTATTAAACACTGACTAACAATGAGAAAATGCATTTTGTATACACAAATAAAAGTACAAGAACAGCTTGTATGCATTTCTATCAAATTAACCGTTTCTATAGCACCACACAAACAATGATGGGAGACCGAAAAGTAACATTATCAGAAATGGAAGTGGGACATACACCGCCGTGTCCAACAGTGGCAGTAAATCAAAACCTCGTACAATGCATAAATTGACCTCGTGTTTGTATCCCCAGGTCACCAAATCTGCGAAGTAGACCTGAAATGAGAATGATTAAGAACATAACATAATGCATGCATACATTTCGAGACACCGGCCGGTAGAACTGCCTGTGTATTTTCGACAATTTAATTGTCCAAATCAATCAATATTTTTATAGCAAAACAGTTTGAAATAAAAACATAAAAGTAAATGCTGGTTGCTTTTGCCAATTGGTCAACAGGTACGCTCGTCACACTGAAAATACTGTTTCAATTCCAATTCGACAGTGTTATGGCTTGTACACCGCATAGAGCAACTGATATAAATTGCACAACCTCATTCTCAACATGTGCTTACCTTAATGCCACTGATAATGAAGGTAGTTACGAAGGATAACAGTAGGAAGACGATACGCAACGCCTTGATGGAGCGACTGCAGGTGATAGTCAAAAGATTATCGATATTGAATCCAGCCAGGATAAGGTGGGACATAGTTATTCCGAACATATGTAAGCCTGAAAATATTTTACATACGTAATATCCGCCTCTCCATCCAATGGTTGCATACATCCCGATGCTGACTCCGCATCGGATGCACAAACCCAGGACGTCAGTAACACAAATCGCAAGGAGATAGAAATGCATCCTGCTGCCTGTCTTCCATGATTTGTAGAGAGATCTGATCATCCATATGTTGGTACAGACTCCAATGTATAGTAGGACGCTGTTTACCACAATTTCCATCGTGTATGGCTTTGTCTGTATCGTACTGTCGTAATCATAATCGTGACTTATGTTGGGATTGACTATTTGCAAGTCCCTATCAAAGTCCATGTCCATGTCCATGTCCATGTCCATGTCCTTCACGCATTCTTTACACGTTCAGCTCTTCTCGTGTGGAAGTGTGCTCAGGAAACTGGATGGCTAACTAAATACACGAGGTAATTGTAGATCATAAAGGTTAGCCGGATAAAACACCATACACTTTTAGTAATGCTAATAATTACTTGCTTGGCATATGTATATTCCACTGGCACGGTTAAATTGCAACGTGAAAGGTCGCCATTGCTGGAGTTGCATTTGTCTTTGTTTTAGAAGTGGTTAAATGAATATGGTTTGATTAAGTAGGTGACTGTTGGTGCAACGCTTTCATAGCCTGGCGAGTCAGTTTCATGAGTTAGGTAAGCTTGGAGTGATGCTGGAAAAACACACCAGGATTTGAAAACCATGATGAAGTTGCTGTTATGATCACGGGGGTAATGAGCTATCCATGCTCCTTGACGGCTGTGTATGAAATCGTATTAGCTATAGAATAACCAATGACAAGAAGTACATCCGTGCTCACTCAGGGTCAAGCGACTCTACCTCACCATGCACCTGGGTTTACGTTCGTCAGTGGCGTATGGAGAAAGTACATATGTATTGGAAATACACAATGTCTTTATAGAAACGTAAGAAGATAATACCACCTGACTAGATATTGATTTAAGAAAATGGAAAACGAGACAGTAGTAAACCAGCCATGTGCGAAACATGCATACCGTATACAAAATTATTAACTCAGTGGAGTCAATAGACGGAACAGGCATCGGCAAAACCTATAAACACAGATACACATCTTTAAATGAGCATCATTATACTCTATAACCCTATAATATTATGAAAGAAGCTAATATCATAACGTGAGAGCAACATTTCTTATAAACAGTTCGACTTATAAACAGAGGCTGTTTGCATTTATGCAAGCAATATTCCCACAGCTCGTACCTATACTCAGCAGCAAGAAAAACGTCAGTACGAATTCAAAATTAGATAGGCACTGTAATCAAATCATTACAGAAATGGATATAATAAGCGGATCAAAAACTTTTTTGTGCACATTATCTTGACACATCAATAAATATATCGGCACAATTTCAAGACATTACGCGAACGTTTGCAGTCCATTCAAACTCTTGACTTCAGTACCTAGTGTGATCACCACGAGCGGCAATAACTGCAGCACAACATCTATGCATGGAGTGCACCAATCGATTGATGAAGGCCATTGGCACCTGGAACCACACTCTGAGAAAGGCCTGGCGCAATAAATCGGCTGTGTTCGGGCTTGGTATGACATTATTCAGTCGCCTCTGAATTTCATCCCAAAGATGTTCAATTGGGTTTAAATCAGGACTAAGGGCTGCAACTGGCCACATAATGTTGACACCGTTGTGCTGTAGGAAGACACGTGTAGCTCTGGCAGTACGGGCCTGGGCGTTATCATGCTGGAAAATGTTGTTCCGGTGACGTGCGAATGTGGTATGACGTGGGGTCTGAGAGCTTGGTCGATGCAGCACACCGCTGTGATCCCGTCTCCTCTCCCTGGACCAAGGTTCTGGAACACCACAGAACCCACTCTCTGGTTCAGGCCTATTCCACCCCATACCATGATGCTTGCACCTCCCCATGAGTCTCTTTCCATAAAACATTGGTCTGAGTAACACTGGCCACGTCGTCGCCATATTCTTGTTCTGCCATCTGCAGTTGATAGTACCGACTCTCATTTGTGAACAGAACAGTTCTCCATTGCCTTTATCGCCAGTTTTGGTGTTGTAGGGCAAACTGTAGACTTTTCACGCCGATGACGAGGGGTGAGGATAGGTCCACGGTATCGTCTACGGCAATTGAGGTTCCCGCTGTTAAGACGTCGGCGTACTGTTTCCTTACTGATTGGTCTTCCGTGTGTTCCCCCTGTCCGGGGTGCTGTTTCGGATGCCTGCATGAAGGGATTCTGTACATGCTGTCGCACAACATGGCGGCCTTGTCGTCTTGTTGTTACCCTTGGTCTGCCAGTACGGGGGCGATCATTTGTGGTGTTGGTGGCCCGGAAACGCTGCTGCAGCCTGTAGATGGTCCGAACGTTGACCTGGAAGTAATTAGCAACGCCTTGTGCAGTGTGGCCAGCTTCAAGTCTTCCTAGCGCCTGGTTCCTCTGAGCTGTCGTGAGTCGCAGTATCCTGCTGACGTTGTAATGTGAATGTTTCAACCAGTTTTGGGGGTGCAATTTATAGGGCTGGTCCTTGTGAACAGCACGTGCAGCATGAGTTGCATGAAAAACATGGGGAACACCGTACCATCTCCGAGATCAGGTTGCGTTTTTGAGACCATTTCTGTTTTCCATTCTGAGTTTGGGAAGGAATGTCTTTGCTCAGGTAAAGTTGCAGATGTTGTCAAAAACATACAATCAAAACATTAATGAGTTTACAGTTATCCGTTTCTGCGAAGGAAAATTCCAAACTAACGTTTCTTTTGCTGCTTAGTATATTTATCCCCACGCTTCACAACTTATGTAGTTCAATCACGCACATGCCTTGCACGCAGATTTCAAACACCGTCATATGAGATTTGTACAACAGTTGTTCAATCAGAGTTAAAATAGTATTTACCTTTATGAAGCCCTCAAGAAATGTCATGGAAGAGATGTCAATAAAATTTCGGAATTTGTCAAATTGGAGACAAAATGTTTGCTTGAGACCCTTATCTTTACTCCTTCCCCCATGTGCTTTTTGCATGTGTTTGTGAATATTTGATACCATTATAGAGATGTAATGCTACCACAAACCTTATACAACAAAGGTTGGAAGTCGACGATTATTGCCTGTATGTAATCATTAATCACAGTTACTGCTTATACATATGAGCAGACAATAAAATAACTCTTCGATAATCATACGAATACTCTACGAAAAGAGCTTTTTGTACTATCCGACATAGACCCATCACACAGAATAAAGTGATCACACGCATAGTAAACAGGTAGTCTGCCAAAAACAAAATACAAAAATAATATGTCAACGTTCCATATTCCATTAAACTGATTTTTGTATAAAAAAAAAGTGGGAATCTGGGCGCATCTTTAGTTCAGTTTATTGAAAACAACTATTGTTTCAGCACATTGATGTCCTCGATTCCTGCAAACACGCTCGTCTCTCAGTCGATGAATGTAATTCGGTAAAACGAGTGAGAATATGAATGTATGTTCATTAAAGTAGTCCTTCCTAAAAAATGTTTATTACTCGCCCGTGGAAGATACTGCAGTGTAATATTTTTATGGCTTGTCCTTTTTTCATTTCTTTATATCTATGTTGTTAAATCATATATGTTCACTTTCATTTCTCAAAAGATGTTGGGTCAGCTATTGGCATGCCATCCTATTTTGATCAGATTTAGGTTACTTACCACTCAACTATTAATGACTCGATATGGCACATAAACTTGACATCATCTCTGCAAATTGCCAAGGCTTGAATAATGAAAAAAAAAGAGGATTGATGTGTTCGAAAATATGAAAAAACGAAAAGGTAACATTTATTGTATCCAGGATACACATTTTACTGAAAGTATTGAACAAAAAATCAAATTAGAATTGGGCTCTTCAGAAGCCCGGTTTAGTTCGTACACCAGTCAATCGAGAGGAGTAGTTATCTTATTTAGAGATAACTTTGAATTTGAAATTCTCAAAGAAATTAAAGAAAGTGATAGTGGCAACGTTTTATCCCCCGCCGCGCGTTTAGCGCGAAGCGGTGGATATAGTATTAGGCTCCGTCCGTCCGTCCGTACGTACGTACGTACGTACGTACGAATTGGAATATCTTAAGAAACGTTCACTACATTCGTTTCATAATTGGTACCTAGGTTCATCACAGTATTAGAAAGGTCCAAGTCAAGTTTGGTGACTTTGACCTTAATTTCAAGGTCACAAGGGGACTTAACGTTTTACCTGCATCTCAAGAACCGTTCACTCGATTTTCTTCATATTCAATACAAAGCTTTATCTAGGGAAGGCGCAGGGCCCAGTCTATTTTGGTGACCTTCACATAATTTTCAAGGTCATGGCGACACTTTGATGATTTCAGCATGTAAACCTGCATGTTAAGTTATCTCAAGAACTGTTTACTGGATTTTCTTCATATTCAATACAAAGGTTTATCTAGGGAAGGCGCAGGGGCCAGTCGATTTTGGTGACCTTCACTTAATTTTCAAGGTCACAGAGACACTGAAGATTTGAGCATGTTAACCTGAATTGTCAGCAAGATATTTCAAAAACAGTTAACTGGATCTTCTTCAAAGACTTTCAAGACTTCCCTTAAATGTTTTTCAAAAAGCAATTTCTTTAGTACTATTTTTGCATATTTCATACACTATGACATTCATGTCAAAGTCAGTCTTGAAAATATGTGTGTTTGAACACCTCAAGAGCAAGACATCAAGAGAGGTTGACTGGTCATGTTTTTGTTGACATTTAACTTAAACGTTCATTACTTTATAAGTTTGATTTGATCATTTGCGGCGGGGGATTATGTCACCTTAGTGACAATGCTTGTTGATACTTAAAATAAAAACAGAGAAAGAGATATTAAGCATTACAAATGTTTATGGTCCAAATGAAGATACGCCCGACTTTTATCAGGAAATTAAAAATAAAATACTAAGTCCAGAAACTGAAACTAATATTATATGTGGTGACTTTAATCTAGTCCAAGATCAATGAAAAGATACTTTCAATTATTTACATATAAATAATCCCAATTCAAAAGAAGCTGTACTTGATATGATGGATGAACTTAACCTTTATGATCCCTGGCGGGAATTAAATTTAGATGTAAAAAGATATACTTGGAGAAAACCCAAACCCTTGAAACAAGCACGTTTAGATTTCTTTCTCGTTAGTAGAAATATGGAAAAATCTATCGTTAGCTCTAAAATAGAACATAGTAACAGATCAGATCACTCGGTAATATTGTTACATATTGAATTTACATCGATCTCTTGAGAAAGGAAAGGTTTTTTGGAAATTTAAGAACAGTTTGTTACATGATCCAGAATATGTACGAGAAATCCAAGGTATT